TATAAATACTGTTGAGTAAGTACCTGCGTGTACTTGTAGCGTACTTGTTACTGTAGTGTTATTACAGAGTTCGAGTAGAGTTAATAGCAGGCTATGCACTATTATCTAATGAAGTTATGGCATGCTATGTATATGCACTATGGACATATAACAGGCACGGACAGGTCCTGACATCATGACGACCATAGAGTGTCGGGTTTAATCTGCGATCCCCCAATTAACTTGAGCTGTTCCATGGTTGATTATTTTTCTCGAACAGCGGTTTCCTCTATGACGATATAAAAATATGCATTGTCGCCTCTCATATATTAGAATAAATAATTATCTATATAGTACTTGTAGAATAGTACTTGTAGGAGACCGTGTTGATGCAAGTACCCTTACATCCAAGGCCATCAATAACGCCAAATACATGCGCATACAGATGGAGCCCACGACTTGGCAGAAACACTGCAAAGACAACTGCAAGGCGAGGCATAGTATCCCATCATTGCAGGTGTCAGATAGAATGGTCTCACTGCTATTTTGTCTATCTTACTGTCTCTTTTATCTTTCGTTATTGTACTAATGCTTTGTACTATGTACCTTGTATGAAGACTAGAGCTGAAAATAGATGATCGACTAGCAATAATAATACGAAATAATACGATGCCTGTAATCTTGCTGCATCCAACCCAAAACGGTGAAACACATGGCTCGTTCGCCCCCTGCAGTGGGGAAATCGTCCAATCAGGCTGCGGGATTCCTGTACCTGAGCTCTTAATCCGATGGCATAATTTATGCATGGCACCTGGTCTGTGCTGTGTGTACAAAAAAAGAATAAAGACTCGTACGGAGTAAAGAGTGCAATATATGCGGAGTATTAAGAATAACTACTCATATAAAGAGCTATTTATTCCTCAAACACCATGTTGGCATGTCTATAAATTCTTTTTGCGCATTAAGCGCCGACTACAAACAAAAATTCAGACAGCGCTACAGAGTATGGATACTCCATACTACGACCAGTTCCTTCGACGATCCGGGGAGCTCCCAGATTTGAGGCGTGCTAATGTCCCTGACCATCTTGTTCTGCCATAGTCGACCAATGCTAGTCACGCAAGTCGAGTCTTGACTCGAGCGGGCAGTTCTACTGTCCATTGAACATATGGTCTGCCATCCATCCAGACCACAGCTGAAACGTAGTATAGCGCCTTGAAGCGATCGAAAAGTTCGTCGTGAGCACTGCCCCATGTTTGAAGTCTGTTTGGGGCTTCGGCCCGTCTGATCGTTGAGACGGAATTCGGAGTTTCGTTCTTGCCCGCGCCAGTCGGGTTGATGCATGCCCCTTTTTTTGAGTCATCGTAAATTTGGATTCGTCGCTCTGTTTAGAGGATCGGTTTTGTCGCTGCCGCTCTATATTATTGGATAACTTTGTATTGCACTCAACGAAGCTCCGGGAACTGGACCGGTAAGCGCCGGAGTCATCGGCACAGAATGCATGTCATTTAGCTGCGTATATGACAGCCACACATAGTCCACCATAGTGCACACAATCTCGTACTATCAGCAATAGAAGCGCCGAATCACACCAGCAACCAACTGTCAATAACGCCAAGTGATCAAAACAAGGACCAGCTGTTTGACTGACCCCTTATTCCGTTTAACTGCATAATTACAAGGGTAGAATATTTCTTCTCTCATCCCCCGCTCATTCCATCCCTCTTTGACACATTCCGTTCGAATTTGAGTATTCTAATCGCGTCCATTCCTGTCATGTCCATACATCCGTGATTCTGCACGGAGGCCTTGAGTCTATTCTTATTATTTATTGTAATCTGCAGTTATGAAATGACGGAGAGAGTTATTTATACCACTAACTGTATTGGGGCAAGCGAGATTTGGATCCCCATCGGTGGACTTTGATTGGTTGGTTGCTACTTTTAGCTACTGGTGCCTGCCTCGTACTCGTACTTTACGTAACTAAGTACTGAATATGAATGTTGGTGCCTGAGGATGGACGCGCACTAGTACTTGTATGCTGGACAAGTCCTGTGATCAAGATTACTGTTCATTGTGAGGAAGGGAGGAATGCCAAGGGGCAAACCGCCCCCTCTGTATGAACGATGCTTCATCTGCGATTGTGCAGGTCCCGACACCCGTCAATACCAGGGCAGCGTACTTTATATCTGAAATTACAACACCTAGCTAGCATCGCTGATACTGCACTTGGTTCCGGAAGATTAACATTTATGTATCGTAGGCTGCTCAACCCATCATGCAAGTATTTCCATGCATCGCTGTACACCATGAACGCCTATACAATAATGCCCAAGAGTCATCATCTCCTGGCGACGACCAAATAAAGCAGATATATGTACACAAATCCGAAATCACGTCTCAACAGCCCCCGGAGCAACCGCAAGAATCACAACCAACGCAGCAATAATCAAAGCCGCCGCTACAAACGCGATCAAGATCACACTGCCACGGCTGGCAGGGAACTTCCCCCGGACAATCCAGTACTGACTCTCGACAAACCGATGAAACCCAACAAGAAGGATCAGAATAGCGACTGCGATAAACGTCGTCCCAAGAGGTTTTCCGAGATTCCGGAGGCGTTTAGTCGCACCTTCTATCTGCAAATGGTCCAACGAAGACGAAGAATCCGTTCCATTTTGGTGCAGGTTACCAGCATTGCTCAGACGGAAGAGCTGAGTGATTGCAATACCAATAGAGGCAAACGCCAGCGAAGTCCGCAGCCAGGCCAAAAAGGTACGTTCTAGTTCTCGTTAGTCATGTATTGACCCGATAAAGCAAACGACTAGCATATTGGACACACCTAATGCAAGATGATCGCGAGCCACACTACCCTTGTTCTCTAGCTCCATGCTGCCATATCGATTGGCCAGCTGGATGTACCAAGGCCGCTGGTGGTTTTGCCCGTCGCAAGGAGCCACAGAGACACCATTAGGTCCTTCACCTTGAGGCTGAGATAAGTCCGTTGACTTTCCCCGACTGGTCCCCGACGCTGATCCCCGGCTCCTCATCCCCTCTGTAGACTGGTAGTCCGGGCGTGTTGAATTTGAATTAATAGGCGTGTTCTCGCTGACTGCGCCTTCTTCGCCCAGTCTGGATTGGTTCTGCTGTGCGTGTGTAGAATGCGAAGAAAATGACGATCGACGTGAGGGTTCTCTAGGTTTAGGTGCTGACAGATTGGACGTCTCCATAGCGGCGGCGTGTTTATTCAATAGTGGCAGGCCTCGGCGTTCTGGAATCCCTTGCCCGCGGTAGCCAGATTATTCACTTTCTTTTTTCTTTCTCTTTCTGTTGTGTTATGCCTAATCCTCCTCTTTACTTGTTAAGTGAATACGACAAAAAAGATATCTGTATTCTTCATATCAGCCTTCAAAGAGCTATGCTGGTCTAGCCGAATCGGGCAGTGCGCTGATCACATGCTCGATATGACTTAGCCCCTTGTGGCTAGCATATACGCTAGTCCTGATTGGGCCATGGCGTCATAATCCTGCAACGGCAGGCGGTGAAGGTCCTCATTGTTGTCCACCACCCAAGGTACTGCTTTGCCATCACATCAAAACGCTTCAACAGACGTCCCAATATGGCATCAGACATGGCTGATATGAATTCCGGGTCAACGACCAAAGTCGATCTATCCAAGAAATTATCTGAACTGCGCAATACCCGCCGCAAGTCCAACGCCGCCCCCTCTTCCTCTTCATCCTCCAAAGAGCCCGCACCGGTGACCCCTCCTCTCCCTTCGCCGCCAGACCTGTCATCTCATGAATATTCCCGTCCGATACGTCGAATTCTTTCGCACAAGGATCATGAATCGTTTGCTTCCTCGCCGACATATTCTCTCGTCCTTGCGTTCATATTTGGATTGTCGGATTCGGTACGCGGACGTGCGGTTACTGAGTTCAATGACAAGCCGGCCTCCCCTTCCGTCTCGAATATTTTGTCTGTTGTGGAACGCATGAAGGCGCTGGTGGAACAATATCCGGCGCTAGATCAAGGTGGATCGAGATTCGGAAACCCTGCATTCCGAGATCTGTTTGATGATGTGACTGCGCAGAGTGCATCGTGGCACAAGGGCATTTTGGGACTGCAGGACGATGCAGCGGTCGATGAGATCAAGACATACTTGATTCACTCCTTGGGATCGCGGGATCGGTTGGATTATGGGTCCGGACATGAGTTGAACTTCATGATGTGGCTGCTGTGCCTTCATCAGGTGGGACTCATCGCGCCGTCTGACTTCCCGGTCATCGTGTTCCGGGTTTATATCGATTATATGCACCTGATGCGACAGGTTCAGAGCACTTATTATCTCGAGCCTGCCGGCTCGCATGGTGTATGGGGTCTCGATGACTACCATTTCCTTCCTTTCCTGTTCGGGGCTGCGCAGCTCGTGAGCCATCCGTACATCACGCCATTGGGTATCCATAATACGGCAGTCCTGGACGAGGAGGGAGACAAGTATATCTATCTGGACCAAGTGCGGTGGGTAGACAGTGTGAAGACTGTGAAAGGGCTACGGTGGCACAGTCCTATGTTGGACGACATCTCTGGCGCTCGAAACTGGTCCAAGGTAGAAAGCGGGATGAAGAAGATGCTTGTCAAAGAAGTTCTTGGGAAACTTCCCATCATGCAACATTTCTTATTTGGCAGTCTCCTCCCCGCAGCTCCGGGCATGGGAGAGGGAGCTGACGAGTTGGGGGAGGCTCATGACCATGGGCCTGAGTGCGGAGATGGTCATGCCCATCCCAACCATGCGCACGATAATTTTGGCGGTGATTGCTGTGGTATTAAAGTACCGAGTACCATCGCAGCTGGAGCAGAGATGCGAAGACGCATGGGAGGAACAGGCTTACGCCCGATTCCATTCGATTAAATCTACAATAATATGGTCCGTATGAATAATACCTTATATTCATAATGCATCTAACGTAGACAGGAATGAAAACATCTTGCAATTTAGACCTATCTCGAACTGCATACATCTAGTCCTTCTTCACGGCAGGCACCTGCTGAGTGGTACAATGGATAACACCCCCAGTAATGGGAATGGCATGCATATACACCTGTCGCACCTCACGGTCCGGCATAGCGGCCTGAATAACATCCCGCGCCTTCGAGTCATAAGGCTCAACCCCAAACTTGGGAATGACAACACCCCCATTGCAGAAATAAAAGTTGATATAACTGCAAACCACCTCCTCATAATCATCATTCTTCGGCACCTCATCCCCATTAACCTCGTCAACGGGGATAATCTTCAACTTCCGCCCCTTCGCATCAGTCTCGTTCTTCAACGCAATCAGAACTTCATGCGAGACATCCAACCACTCCTGATCGGAATCCGGATGATGCCGCGACCACAGCACAACACCGGGCCGAATAAACCTCACCTCCGCATCAAGATGCGCATCCGTGATATCCATATTCTTCCGTCCAGGACACCAGATAATCTTCTCCACGCCCAGCAACCTCTTCAACTCCTCCTCAATATCCGCCTTGCTCATCCCCGGATTCCTCGGCTCATCAATAATGCAACTCTCCGAGATAATCAACGTCCCATCCCCATCAACCACAAACGCACCCCCCTCCGCCTTAATCCTCGGCACAACCCGTCTCACCGGCTTCGGGTCAACATCACCCTCAATTACCTTCCTCGCAAACAGCGTATTCTCCTCAAGCTGCTCCACACTCGGCGTCGGCCAATTCAACCCATAGTCATTCCCATTCGACACATCCCACGGCCTCTTCTCACCCCACTCGTTGAAATCGAAACTAATCGCAAGCCGCTCCCCGGGGAACCGCCCCGACGCATCGTGCACGTACACGGGACCCGTGTCCCGCACCCAGCAGTGGTTAACCTCAATCGGGATGATACTGACGCGCTCCTGGAGGTTGGGCGGGACTATCTCGGCGACGTATTTCTGGGCGAAGGGGATGTCTTCGGGGCGCGTGTAGAGGCGGACGGGCTCGAAGTGGGCAATGGCGGCGGCGAGGCCGGTGATTTCGGCGCAGCTGGGTTCGTAGTAGGGGGTTGGGACGGAGACTAGGGAGGGAAAGCCGAGGATGGTGGCTTCGTGGGGTTCGGATTCGGCGGGGAAGATGAAGTTGCCGTCTGTGATGGGTTCAGTCATGGTGGTGGTGTTATAGTTCCAGTTGTAGTTCCAGTTGTAGTTGTAGTTGTGTTAGTGGCTTGCTTGGTGGTAAATGTAGTGGATCGATCGTGTCTGTCTGTCTTGAGTCAAGTCGAGAACGGTTGCACCGATATATATATACATCTTCTCCGAGCTGTCCTGAGGCAATTACTCCAGATATTCCGTATTCGCTGGCCTGTGTCACTATTCAGTCAGCATCATTCTGGGGCTTATTGTTGTACATGAACCTAACCGGCTGCCTAGAAGACACGATATGAATATCCAAAAGTAGCTGCTCTTAGCGAAATACACTAAATAGCAGTCGCAGCTGTTCAGCCCTAGCTGGGTTTATCCTGCTTAGCATTACAAGCAGTAGCCTTGTGTAAAAAAAAAACAACATGCCTTCAGCCTAGAAGGAATGCGTTGTTCTGCTTACCCCAGATTATGACGAAGTCCATAGCATAGAGCACAGAGGGCTTGACCAGTCAGCTGCGCACATCTGTAGTGCAATGCAGTGTCATTGTAAAAATCCTAAGTAGCTATACTACGTGTAATGAGCTAAATATATAAAATGCAAATATTTCCCTTTCTGGCCGTTTTCGCACCCATTTCTCAGTCCGATTCGAGATCCATCGGGCTCACATCAGCCCCCGCGCTGTTATATGCTCACCCTGGTGGCATTTTAAGAAAGAGATCACACGATCACCATCCTCCCTCCAATAGAGGCTCTCGCTGTCCCGCACCCCGTTCCTCATCACCATCATCGGCACTGGCACTGGAGGCACCAGCACCAGCACCACTCAAAAACACCATTGGCCCAGCCGTAACAGCAGTCAACAACCCCAACGACCACGCCATAGCTGACCATCCAAACCGATCACTCAGAAACCCACCCACCATAGGCCCCAGCATAAGACCCGCAAAGCTCGCCATGACCTGTAAGCTGAAAGCCTGTGCCACGGCTCCCTTCTCACCAAAAACGCCTGGGTTGTGGGCTTCCATGCTGTCAACGACTAGTTGGGTTTCGAGGAAGAGCGCGGGTTGGGCGAGGTCGGTGGTGAGGCCGGCGAGGGTGACTAGGGTTGGGAGGAGAATTTTGTGGGAGAGGGTGTTGTTTTGGACGAATTGGAGACTGAGGAGAACGGGGGTTGCGGTTGCGAAACTGAGGATGGCCATTATGCGGACGCCGTAGCGGTCTGTTAGGTTTCCTAGATTACACGTCAGTATATACTGAAGGGGGGGGGGAAGATAATAGACTTACCGAACACTGGGTCAAAGAGCGCCGGAATTGCGAGTAAGAGGAAGACGATTCCTCCTTCAAAAGGGCCCCATCCAAATGTTTTCTCCACGAAACTGACCAACGTCTATACCAACATCAGTACGTAGTAAAATCCAAAGATAGAAGTATGACCTACCGCATCAAAAGAAGCCGTAACAATCCCCTCTGCCACAAAAGCCCACAACGTGATCAACATCCGTGGTTGCTTTAACAGCGTCAAGATAGCAAAGCCCCCCTTGCTCTCGGACTGGGGTACAGCATCCTCGATCTGATCCCGAGGAAACGACGCATACCCATTTACAGACACTTCCGTAATAGCGTCATTATCATTGCCGTCGTCAGGTGAATCAACTGGTTTGGCCAAGCGGTCTACAGCCCGCTTCTCAATAACCACCACCCGCAAAACCAAATCGACAGCAATCATGGCAAACGCCAAAGCGCATACGGCGTAATATCCACCAGCATGATATACCAGTCCACCCAGCGGCGGTCCCGAGATAATGCCAATCATACTAGCAGTGCCCAAATACCCCAGTATCTCTCCCAGATGTTCCTTATCGACCACATCCACAACGAGGGCTAGTCCTGCTACATTGACCATAGCAGCGGCGCCACCCTGTAGGAATCTCCCAACTATAAAACCCGTCATGGACCGCGCAACGGTGAGGAATATCACGGATATAGTGAGGAGGAACAAGCCGAGGAGGAAGGGGAATTGGCGTGATTGGGAGACGTCGACAAAGTAGCCGAAGAGAGGGCTGGTGATGAAGGCTGTGCCGGATTCGCAAATTAGAAGGACGCTTGTCCAGAAGACCTCTGTTAGGCGTTAGCTGAGGCTTGTATCAAGCAGGATCGACTGTTCTCACTCTCCTCATCCGGGACACCTGCGCGATTCACAATGGCCGTGGGCATGATGGGGACAATCTGTAGATCAGCATTGTGTTTATCCTATATGTTAAGTAATACTTACCATGCCGTACATGAACATGTCCTAATCAGTTAGCCATGTTGTCTCAAGCATGTCCAGGGATATCTACCGTCAACATCGCTAGCGAAACCACAATGACAATGAAGCTCTGAGACGAGCGGAGCTGCCACTGCCATTGCTCATGCTTTTTGGACTGAAATGGAGTCATGTTGAGCGGTTGAGAAGTTTAGAGAAGAGTGAAGGAGTAAAGTATCTAATCAAACAACTGATATCGTAAAGTTTCTTGAGGTTGGAGAAAATAACCGTCATGTGATCATGCTTATATAGAAACACATTCGCCATTATTCACCATCTCTGTCTTACTAAAAATTGCTCGTCAGCCCAAATATCCAAATTACCTTTCTAGTTCAGTCCAGCTGAGCATACATTGACGCCCTGTACAACATGAAGTTCTAATCTGGGACCGTCCTCTTTACAGCTTACTTTCCACCGACCTCCCAGCCAGCCAACTATCTACACAAGACACAAGTCAGCCGGATTTCCAATATCCAAAAGGAAAGCCAAAGCGACGCTTCGATTTTCAAGAAAATCCACACATACCCCGATAATCATTAACCATCACCGCCGGCGACGTCAACGGCTTCCGATTCCCATTCCTCACCTTATCCTGCATATTGCACAACTCCTCGAAGAGATAATAATCAGCCAACTCCACCAACTCCTCTCCGTCATCGCACATCCAGCCCTGTCCGTTCGACGCCGTCGGACACCGCGAGAGACTCCCGTATGTGAGGTCGACGATCACGTCGCTATCCGCGAGGATTGGATGTGGCTTTGTCGGGTCGTTTTTCTCGTAGAGAGTGAATGTTCCTTGGCCGTGGGTTACGGCTAGGAGGGCGGCTTCGAGGAGTCGGAGGAGGTCTAGGGAGGTGTTTACTCGGCCGCGGAAGTGGGTTTGGATGTGGAGGTAGAGGGCTTTTAAGAAGAAGGGCATTGTTTGCCTGTTAGGGTTGGGTTTGGTGAGAGAGCCATGGAGACGTGGGGATTCTAGATGGGTGTGTGTGTGTATGAAATAGAAAGATGGATTGTATTTATACTCTGGAGACTGTCACTATCATGGTGTCAAAGAATGAATGAGTATTCCCGCTTCGTCATGGTATAACAATGGGCCGTTGTTCACTGGCTGCTGGATGTAAAAGACGGGCGAAAGACTACGTCTTGGTTGCTTGCACTGATCAAGCTTAGCATCTTACTTTTGCTAGGGGTCTTGTAAATCTATACTTTATCCAGCACGGTTTGAATGACCAAAGCAAATTCCAACTCTGTCCTTGTCGTCGTCTCTGACATTAACCTGTGTGTCTATTATTGATAAAAATAGCTGTCAATTTAACCACAAGTCAAAAGCAGGTTCAGTGGTGAATGCCTGGGCATACCATTCAAATATTGTCCATTGCTCACTATCAATGACCGTCATCATTCACATGGCAAAAAAATTAGTGAGCAGGCTCGAAGGATCTGTACCAAATTTTTTATTTCTCTCAACCTACACAGTGTACCTCTATGAAAAAAGGTAGATATAGCTATCTGGTAATACTCCAACGGAGTACCATTCTTCACAAAAAGAATCCCCTAGAAGCCTCTGAGATCTGGAAGTATAACCCAATCCGGTTAGCGCTACCCCAAATAAGGAAAATCACGTGTTCCCAACCGCGGAACGGCTCGTCTCGAGCAACTCTTCAAGCAAACTACCCCATACATACGAACAGACAAGAATTTAAAATACACCCGATCATCTCTTCTATAATAATCACAGAGAGCCAGAAAAAGCAAACCCGAAATATTCTTGTAAATCCCCCACATCCAGCGCAAACCCGATTTTCAGACAAAAACCCAAAATGCCCCCGGGGGACGAATACTCAACCGGCGGGGGCGGCAAACTCAAACTCAAAGGCAGCAAAGTGAGCGACGGCCGGGTAGAGAAGAAGAAGGCGAAAAAGGCGAAGAAGAAGGAGAAGGAGGCTACTGGTGCTTCTTCCGGTGGTGAGGTTGTTCCGACAGAGGGGACTACGCCGGAGGATGGTGGCGAGAAGAGCAGAGAGGATGAGTATGGGTCGGAGACGGGGACTGTTGGTGTTGGGAAGACTGAGACGGAGAGGAAATATGAGGAGATTCGGAGGAAGAGGGTATGTTTCTTTTTTTTTTTTTTTTTTTTTTTTTTGTTCCATGTTTGACGGGTGCTAATTGACAAATAGATGCAAGAACGACTGAGGCGCGATGGCTTCAAGACGCACAAGGAGCGGGTTGAAGAATTAAACAAGTATCTCAGTGGATTGACTGAACACCATGATATGTATGTCTTGGTTTGTCTAACACGGATTTATGGACTGGTAGCTGACGACTTCTTAGGCCGAAAATTGGTCCCGGTTGAGATCGATGTGTTTGTTTTGCGCAATTTTGTGGGCGATTTTGTTTGTTGCGAAATTTCTTTGGTTTGGTCTTGTGCAATCGCAAAGAAATCATTTTTCAAGTTGCAAACTACAATCAGTCGCGGGCTGAAATACCTCTCCGAGACATGACAACAGGCGGCCAAGGGCTACGTCTACAGCAGATCATCCGGCTTCCCGGAATGGACGGTAACGATGAGCGGATAGAGTATAGAATCACAATACTCAGTTGATACTAAATTGCTGTGATGAAGTATTGATTCAAGATAGAACAGTATCAAATTCCCATATAATAACGCCATGCGTGTAATACCCCGGAAAATAAGTAGATAATAGACAAATAACGATAAACCACCCCAACCCAAAATCATTGTAAACCATGTCGCTCCGAAACGAGACACCACCCTAGCGAAAGGGGGAGCCATCGCAAAAAAGGTTGTAAATAACACCGTGCTAATTCAACGTCGGATAAAAATGGCAAGTAAATGCAATCGAAATGCGCCGAGATTGTTGTAGTAGTGTAGAAGGGATGCGGACCATCCCGTTATACACCCTTGATAACCTGTGTACGCTCGCTGTTCAACTTATCGGCATTGCGGGCGTGGGACTCCTTCTTGCAGTCTTCCAGACCGGAGCAGGCGTGAGCTTCGAGCATGCGATGCTTGGAGCAAAAGTGGCCACTGCAGAAGCTGCAGTCTCCGACAATGCGCTGAGCTTGTTCCTTGCACTCCTTGAAGGAGCATCTGGGCTTGCGAGGAGGCATTTTGTGTGAGTTGGTTTTGATGGCAGAGACGGGAGAGGAGGGTGAGGTGGTGAGGTGGTGAGGTAGTGAGCGCTAGCTGGTGTGGAGGCGATAAGACGACCCGGTGAGGAGAGGCGGAAGATAAGGGATTCAAGCCCACCGGGAGGAAGAGGATTATTTGAAGAGCAGTAGTTGTAGAGAGGGATGTAAGACGACCCTGGTCAGGAGGAGATAGAAGAGGAGTCAAGGAATGAAGGAGAGAGGATTAGGAGAGGATCAGGAGGACGGGTGCGGTGAGATAGATAAAAGGGAGCCCCAACTCTATATACTCTGGTAATACCCGATGATCGGAAGCAACGGGAAGGCAAAAGAAAGGAGGCGACAATGAAAGAAAAAAAAAAAAAAAAAAAAAACTGTTTAAAGAAGAACAAGAATGGAAAGTCAATTGAACGTGGCAGTGAAGGGAAAAGAAAGAGAAGAAAGAAGAACAGCCACGGTTCGGATCCAACAGGGAAGATATATAGTGGTACGTAGTATGAAGCCGCTGAGTCACGGCGCCATCTCCAATTTTCAATTCCCAACATGGAGGCAACCCTGCTTATCTAAGGCGGACCATCGAAGCTTCGAGTTTTTTTGGGCATTTATTAGGGGCTTACAGGGAAGAAGAGCCTGGGGACCCAATTGACCGTGTTGTTAGCTTGTTTGCAGGAGAAGGATCCGTGAAACCAGGGCTTGTTTTGCTGGCGTTTGTACAGGGATAGAACGAATCACGTGATACATACAACATACTACTTCATTCAGACATTGATTCGTGTATTTATACTCCGTACTCTGTTTCTGGTAGCTACTCTCTACTCATCAGTAACATTCCTTGTGGCGAGCGCTCTCTGTTGCTGTGTTAGCAAGTCCTCCGAGATCCAACCACAACGCCAACTGTGCCACCACGTATCAGAAGCACATTGGTGTCAACTGATGTGACAGATTGCTGATACTGATCGCGACCAGGAGAACGATCATCTAATAACTCTGACTAGGGTAGTTGAGCTATTCCATTCCTTCCAAAGGCGCTCAGAGCACGTACTTGTACGAAATAATGTCGACGTTTAGGCTATTGTGCTAATAATAGCAGTCTTCCCCTATAAGGTTAGTATATGCCTCAGGAATAACTAATAATTGGCAGAGATGAAAGGCAATAATAACCACTAGCCGCGATGCTAGGACGCGGAAAATACAAGGCAACTAACTTCTGCCTCATTCTGCGAATCATGTGCCGTCAACCCCTCACTTGGGCAGCAGTGATCAACCATTTCCATCTCCATTTTCATCTCCACTGGATGTACTCTGTACATGTACTCTGCAGTAGTATGTAGTAGTTATGGTCTACAGCTTACGGATGCATGCTCCGGCGTATATACGCTAAGTGAAAATTAAACGGGACAAATGAGATAGGCGCCGGGATATCCATCCCTTAATTTCCCTTTCTCTTATTGATCTCCATTGACCGTTTCACGATCGCTTCGATGTCCGTGCAATCGGGGGTTTGTTCTTATTCGACCTGAAATGTTCCCGTGGTGAAGGCAACTCCTCCGACAGTTGGCAGCGGTGGACAGCAAATCTACGGATAGACGTGGCAACTGGGCAGCTCAACAGCATCTGTCTGCAGAAGGTGGTTGCACACCGATAAGCATCGGCAGCGTCGGACGCAGTGCACTGACATGTTGGGATTCCAAAGGATCCTCCATTGAAACGGTTATCCATGTAACAATAATCCATTTCCTACGTGTCATGTCTTTTGGTATTAGGGAAAAAATGAAAACAGAAACGCCGAAGTACACCAGACCGTGAGACATAGCAGCGACATCAAAGTAGGAAATCCATAACAAGTGAAGATCATTGTTAAACGCCCATCTCCTTCTCCTTACCCGCATCTGGGTCCAAGTAATCCTCCCGTTCTGCTGCCTCGTATTCGCCAATAAGGTCCATGACCACAGAGCGCGCTTCGTCAAACTCTCCCAGCCCATCAGAAAATGGACTCTCCTTCTTGTACTGTTCCAGGAAAGCGTTACGCTTTCGCAGCCGATCGTACTGCTGCACAATCCGCTTGAACAGGGTCGCCACCGAAGTGTGATTCGCCAGCATCAGTCCACTGACTCGGTGGGTGTTCTGCAAGTACGGCGACTTCTTCGTTAGCGCCACCTGGATGCTGGCAGGGCCCCATGGGATAAAAGACGCAAGCCGGCGCTCACGGATTCGCAGCAGCGACTTGTGCACGTCGGTCGGGTCCGCTTCGCCTTGGATGATGTTGAGAATGCTCATATAGCAGCTGGATTTGCTGGGATTAATCGAGACCATCCGGTTCTTCGGCTGCAAGAGACGACGCATCACGTCCAGAACGGTCGTCTTGCGAATTGTCTTGGCCTGTTCAATGTTGTCTCCAGTAAACGGGGTGTATGATGTGATCAGGAAATGGCTGCGTGGTGTCGGGATAAGTGAGGCGAGGATTCCAGCCAGGTCATTGTGCATGTAGCCGGGGTATCGGAGTGTTGTAGTAGAAGCCGACATGACAGTAGAGACCTATAGTAGTTAGCACCACCTCAAACATGTGGAATGAGATAGAACACCCACCAACTGGTTTGTCTGATGGAATGATGGTTCTTGTACGTGCAGTCTGTCTGCAACAATTCTCGATAGAGCGCCGTTATCCAAAACCACCTAAATAAACGTTTTAGCTTGGTTGATTGGCCAGAAGCAAATGGAGCCTTACCACCGAGTCCGCATTCTGCGTTAACCGTCGCATACTAAGAATACTGTTATACGGATTGACCACGACATCTGCAGCTTGCGTATCGGGGAACACGGAATAAGTCTGAATCAACTTCTTGGGAAATCGATCGTTCATCCGCTCCAAGATGTAACTTCCCATACCCGATCCTGTACCTCCAGCAATCGAATGCAGGAACATGAAGCCCTGTTACCCATATGTGAGCCTGCAGCCATGGAATCTAAGTTCTTCGAGGCCCTCCTACCTCTAATGAATCACTACCATCCGCTTCTCGATCGATCATGTCGAATACCTCTTCATGAACCGCCTCGCCTGCGGAGTATCCAGCTCCCCAGTTGTTCCCGGCTCCGATACCCTGTTGTCCGATGAAGAAGTTCTCGGGGTTGTATATGTTTCGGTAGGGACCGGTTTGGATAGCATTGAGCACCTGGTTCGTTTTAGCCCGGTATCTTGTGCGGCAACGAAGGAAATCGTACTCTGGGTTCTAAGTCGAGGAGGATCGCTCGGGGGATATATCTGGTATCATCACTCTGGCGTTTCCTAGTCAGCAACTGTCTAAATAAATAAATGCACAGCAGTTGGAGGTACCTGATAAAAGAAGACATCCTTGCGATCATTTCCCTCCGTTGCGAATTCTTCTAGGTTCCCATCCTGACTGATTCCATGTTCCATGCAAAGCTGCTGCCAAAAATTACTTCCAACTGTATATGAACCGATCAGCAAACTGTATGCGATGCGCGGTCATCATGCGATATCGTGGTGATGGCATACCGTTGTTGCCGCATTGGCCGGCTTGGATCGTGATGATTTCTCTAGGCCGACATTAGCAGGAATGGAACCTCAGTCACGAGTGGCATGGTATTGAGGAGCTCAGAGAATTCGTGTAATGAATTTAAAGACATACCTAGGCATATTGTCCACTCCCCAGCAAAGCAGTCGAGGTAGGTTAGCGACGCGTGGATCGCGTTTCTGCGGGGGAACTTTTTGGGGGCATATGCCTCAGGCGCCAATGTCTTTATCAACGGCAAGTTTTGTTTTTGAATTGCAACACAAGGTTCAGAGATGATGGATAATTGTAGTATAAATTCGTTAATTTTTATGTACACCTGCGAATTCTATTATGAACCACCATGACTAGAATCCCGCTTTACAAGCCGTCACCAGCATCCCAGCCCCGGCCACTACACCATCCACAATCTTCACACGATTCCCTTGCTGCTTGTCATAAGCCTTGACACAACCCTCTCGCACAGCTTCCTCCATACCCGCCATACCAGCGCATCCCATGCAAATCGCACCAACAGGTGCTGAAGTACCCTGAAGAAGTCGCTCCGTTGCATCGCTGGTTCTCCGTCTCACCTCTTCCGGTGGGGTGGTATGAAGCTCAACAGCAGTAAGTCCAGTAGTGGCTACGCCGGCGAAGCGCATAGTCGAGGCTTTGGTATTGCTGCCGGAGCTAACGAGCATGTCTTTGACTGCATAGCTGAGTTCAGCTTCCCAGGTGCTGCCCGTCGATACGATTCCGAATGTATCTGGGACCTGGGCTTTGTGGAATCCTGGCTCTCCTGTCATTCGGAATGAGCTGATCAAGGACAAGGAGGTGACGATGCTGGCTTCGAATATCCCTGTCACGTATTTTCTCGGACCGGTGGGGTGTGTTTCTTCATGTTTCTGGATAGCCTCTTTCAGCATGCCCACGAGCGGGTGGGCAGAGTAGCAGGCTACTAGGAAGCCATCGTATTTAGGCACAAGAGGCTCGACGAACGGTCTGCAATGTAAAGCTGAAGCCACCGAATCTTCCCCGGAATTGATGCTGGGAATGCCGTGAATGGTGCGGTTGTCGAGAGTCACGGATTCTGTCGACGGTGCTGTGAAGTAATCAAAGTGGATATCTGAATATCGGAGGCTTTCTAGGATAGGCTTCAAGGCTTCTGTCATAGAAGTTGAAGTGTTGGGGTTGATCACCAGGATCGAGAATTGGGGCTGGTTTGCCATGATGGAGGGGTTTTGTGTCCGCTGCTTTAACGAAGCTGCTCGATGTATTTATTTTCATCTCGCCGCCGACACCACTGCTTGATATCTGGGCATGATAATGTCTATTTTCGTATCTAATTAGCATTATGTTATCTTATTATAGCTGTTTAATTTTTCCTAGTTCTATTTTGTTGACATGAGAAGGGTTCAGAGTGTTGCCTATATGGAGTGGTATCTCATTTGCATCTCTCCTTGTACTTTTTACATCTTTGATCTTCCTGATTTTCCTTTATCCTCCTGCGCCATCTCAACTCAGTACCACCCAATGGACAACGAATTCCGGAGTAATATGTGTCACTGATTCATCAATCTTGAAGGTCTGCATGTGTCTAGAAGCCGGAAGCTAATTATGCTCTCTCTCATAGTCGTCATGTTGAGAGCACAGTACCTTTAAACAGTGAGACGTACACCTCTGTAGGCGTCCTGAAAGACTTTAGAGAGCAAATATATCAATTCTATCAATAGAGTAGTTTCACTAGGCGGATGTTTCTATTGCCGACTACTACTCCAGAATACCTCCATGACAACATATCTGCCCCGCTATTGTTCAAATCCCGACTACTTAACATCAACCTCGAACGCTCTCAGATTCAATTATCTTCGCATTGTCAATTCATTGACCAGGAAAAAGAGAAGAAAATGCCATTGATCGCCCAGAATCCAGTTCCCAGGGCGATCCTGGGATTGATGACGTTCGGTCCGGAGGGAACTGAATCCAAGGGTACCCGCCTGTCGTCCCTCGACAAATGTCTCGACTATTTCCAACAGCAAGGTTTCAATGAAGTCGATACCGCTCGGTTATACGTAGCAGGCGAACAAGAGGCCTTCACGGCTCAGGCCAAATGGAAAGAACGCGGCCTGACGCTGGCCACCAAGTGGTATCCGAAGACACCCGGGGACCACAAGGCGAACGTCCTCCGGGAGAACGTGGGGATCTCCCTGAAGGAGCTGCAAACTGATCAAGTCGATATTTTTTACTTGCATGCCCCCGATCGGTCCGTGCCCTTCACGGAAACCCTGGAGGAGGTCAACAAGTTGCACAAGGAGGGGAAGTTTGTGCAACTGGGACTGAGCAACTACACCGCATTCGAGGTCGCTGAGATCGTGACAATCTGCAATGAGAGGGGTTGGGTGCGTCCGACCATCTACCAAGCGATGTACAATGCCATAAGTAAGTTCGAACCAACTCTTGAGTTGAACCTCGGGCAAAGCGACCCCTGCATGCATTAGACCCACGCTAACTAAAGACACATCAATCCATAGCTCGCTCCATCGAAACCGAACTCGTGCATGCTTGTAGACGTTACGGGATTGACATTGTCATTTACAACCCTCTTGCTGGTGGTATCCTGTCTGGTAAATACAAGGCCAAGGATGTGCCCATGGAAGGACGGTACAGTGACCAGTCCGCCACGGGCGCACTGTACCGGACACGCTACTTCAAAGATGCGACCTTTGATGCGCTCCGAATTATTGAGCCTGCCGTGGAGAAGCATGGGTTAACCATGGCTGAGACTGCTCTGCGCTGGGTTCATCATCACTCGTTACTAAAGATGGATGGCAACGGCCGCGACGGCGTTATCCTTGGCATGAGTAGCTTCGAACAGTTGGAACACAACCTTCGAGACATTCAGAAGGGCCCGTTGCCCGAGGAGGTAGTCGAAGCCTTGGATAAGGCGTGGTTGGTTGCGAAACCAACCGCCCCGAACTATTGGCATCTTGAGCTAAAGTACACCTACGACACGTTTGGTGCAAAATCCTGAGCTGGAAACTGGCGATCGCAGAATTAAAATTATTCTCAACTTTGCGCGTGGACCCATTGTCTGATTGCAACAGTATGTGGAAACACAACACAATAATCAAACCGGCTTTTTTGCCTTTCATTTCAAACACATTCCTTACACCCGTGCGGAGTAACGCAGGAGATCGCACATTCTTAACTTTTAGTACACTGCACCTGCAGAGTGCATCTCATTATTGTACTCCGCGGAAACTAGATGAACAACGAACCGGAAAACCTTGATCAACAACTTTAGATCTCCGCTGGGATCAAGTGAGACAGGCACAAAAAAAAAAAAAAAAAAAAAAAAGAACTTCAATAATACGGTCTAACGGAAGAAGCAACCGGGCAGAGCACAAAAAAAGAAGCTTGTGAATAATGGACAGGCAGCCATTGACCGGCATGATAGGACGACTTACTCGGGACACTCTCCGTATAAAGTTCCCCCCGTGGAGATTAAAATTTGACTTTTCAGCTACAGACTCTCTGGTTTAACCCTATTATCACCAATAGCGGAGCTGATCCCATATCCCAGGAACTAGGTTTGCTCCGAAGGGCTTTGCAACTGTGGAATCAAAAACAATAGTGTTGAGCTTCGGTGACTATCCAGCGCTGCGGTTGGCTCGGTTCCAGGGCAATGGCTCCATAATGCAGGAACCGTCTCCGAATCAATCGCCGTCTGGTACCATAGATTTGTCGATACCAATTACGGGGAGCACACGTCGTTTGGTCGTGCCGCAAACTTTCTTCGTACCCCCTGGGCCGATCCATCTTTTGCAGAAATGTAACAGACTGTCGGGCATCTTTCTCTTTTCTTTCTTCTTCAAATATCAGGAAGAAGGGAAGAAAAAAGATAAAAGTGCCGGCGAAGAGAAGGACAATCTTTCATTGTTCTATCGCAAATCTTCTTTTCGCTGTGTGCTAGCCTTCTTTCCAACTTGCCATCCCTGCTTCGATCATGGGCGAGGACTCGATTTTGCCAATAAGCGAGGACAAGGAGTTGAAGGCAACGCCTTCTCGCCTGACGCAGCCGCCCTCCTCTCTCACAGTCAACAATGGGAACACAGTCACCGCTAGGGACGTTCATTTTGCCTTCAGCAATGAGACATTACGAGACGATTACCATGCCGACAACAGGGCATCCTGGTACCAGCCAGAGGTGACCTATGAAGCCCGTGTCCAGTCGGGGCAGTTCAACCATAGGGTCAGAGACCCGGGGTGGAGACGAATGGTTCAAAATTTCACACCTTCGTATGTCACCCTCTCATTCATCAGGATTCATGATGAAAATTAACGAGCCGTGATGTGAATAGGTGGTTCTCCGTGATCATGGGAACTGGCATCGTTTCGACACTCCTCAACGTTCTCCCTTACAATGGCTACTGGCTACGATGGATCTCGATTGTGATCTTCGCCCTTAACGTCTTCCTTTTCATAGCCGGTTGCATACTCAGTATAATTCGATACACCATGTATCCCAAAACGATCAGAGCCGTCATATTCCATCCGGTGCAAGCGATGTTCCTTGGCGCATTCCCGATGGGTCTCTCTACTATCGTCAACATGTTTTGTCTCGTGTGTGTGCCGGCTTGGGGGACATGGGCTGCAGAATTCGCGCTGGCGTTGTGGTCACTTGATGCTGCCATTTCGGTTCTGTGCGCTCTGTCGTTACCATTTTCGCTGTGCGTCCCCGGATCACGCTATCTCAGGAAAAGCTTGAGCTAACCCTGATGTAGCATGTTATCCAACAAGGATACACACCTTTCGACCATGACAGCCGTTTGGCTTATGCCGATTGTCACTTGTGTCGTTGCTTCTGGGACTGGCGGCATTGTCGCCCAAGTCCTTCCGGATCCGGACCAAGCGTTCGGGGTGATCGTCGCAAGTTATATCCTATGGGGAATCGGAGTTCCCCTGTCATTGATGGTGTTTGTCATCTACTTCCAACGACTCACGATCCACAAGTTGCCCCCAAAGGAGACTATTGTGAGCGTCTTCCTGCCTATGGGCCCCCTCGGATCTGGCGCTTTCTCGTAAGTCTTATGCCTGTCACCAACTTTGCAAGAATGATATAACTGATAAACTTCTGCGTCTAGGGCCTTGAAACTTGGACTTACTGCAAAAGAGACATTCGCCAAGTCTAGTTTCCTATTTGACAAGTCCATCATTCCCACTGTGTACGCAATGGGATTCATGACGGCGCTTGTTTTCTGGGCATTCGGGCTGGTATGGCTCTTCTTTGCATCCGCATCGATTCTGCGATGCAAGAAGTTCCCCTTCAACATTGGTTGGTGGGGTTTCACTTTCCCGCTGGGAGCATATGCCCTGGCTACTTGCCAGCTCGGTATGGAGATGGATTCTTCATTCTTCAAGGTCATTGGAACGGTATGTCAACAAACAACTGAACCTCATAAGAACCCCCTGGCTAACTGAAACATCTAGATACTTTCATTGTGTGTCGTCATTCTTTGGATACTTGTCTCGGTGGGCACACTGAGAGGAACAGTCTCTGGGAGACTTCTTGTCGACCCTGCTCTGGCGGAGATGAGGGATAAACAAGAAAGGAAGAGGCTTTCAGCGTATTTGGGATAGAAAAAGATTAGGTATATTTGTTTTGAATTTCTATGAGATACGATCTGGATCCTGATATGGCGTTGGCACTTAATACCGTTCTAGATTGACTTGTATAGTATAATAGATCAAATTGTCTCTACCTTGACAGTGGTCGACATCATTACTACTGTAGAGGACTGCACAATGGCTGCAGAGCGACCCGCTATGATAGATATATGTAACTTTATTGGCTGGTAATCTGGATAAGCTCTTTTGGGCTAGTGCAGATCGGGAATAGTGCCTGGTAACGGCAGGAGTAAACAGTGGGGTTGAGTAGCACAGGGGTAGCATTCAGGTACGGTGCTACTCTGTACGGAGTACACACTACGTACAGTTGTACTTGGTTTGCGCAGAAATATACTAATGAATATGTAGTCTAATGGTCTTAAGAGATTAATGTAATAAGCGCTTGAGCACACTGGCCGATCTACCAGAGCAAAGCAGTCAACGCTTCAAGTAACGCCAAGGAGGCTGGAGACTGACACCGCCTTACAGGGTTACATACTAGGCTCTCTCAGGCAAATTCAACACGCCCAGAAAGCGAGAATCCAATGCTACATAACAGGAATGGGTTTGTGCACAAATTTGCAGGTGTTAGTCATGCCAACCCGGAGATTGCGTGGACTTCTCCATCTCGGGCCAGGTGTCTTCTTACCGCATCGGGCAAATTAACGGAGAACTGAGCTCGTATTCGGAAAGCGGTCACACCTGTCTCACGTGTTGAGTGGTCCGCCACTAGCTGAATATAGAATAGCGCGACGGTGCCTCAGTGTTTCCCGCGTATGTTCTTTTTTTCTGGAGTTCTTCGACGGTGTCGCTCTCCGGACCCTGACAGCCTTTCCTGTCATTGCCTTCCCTTATTTTATATTTTGATAGCTCAACTCATTACTTCTTACTACAATTCTTCCTACTTCTTCTCTATTCTCTCTCTGTTAGACCCCTGCTCTAAGGGTGCCTTGTTGCGGCTGGACCGTGTATCCTCGTCCTGTTGCTGGCTACTGCTATTCTTGGCAGACGTGGCCGCAGCAGCATCACAGCCTTTCTCTCGCTCTTTTTCTTACAGTACATATTACTTGCATTTCCCCAGGCATTCGCAATTTACTTTTTTATCGAGCAAAACCGAATTTTCACTGTTTTCGAGTATTGCCTCTTTCTATGTTCAAGTACCGCTGCATGGATGCTACTTCGCCTTCTCCACATTCCACCACCCTTTCCCGATAACACTCGCTTCCAACAATAACCACCACTTATCTAACACTCCATTGAGGATTTATTGGGCTTCTTAAAGGTTCATATCCTTTTATATTTTTATATTTAAGAAAGGAAAAGGGGGATTAACTCAATATGGATTCAGATCGCTCACATCTGTTGGGGTCAGGGGACAACGCAGGTCCCGCGCACGACCACGATTCTGACGACGAAATGGCTACCAGTCGCCCACCCTCATACCGCCCTGTTGACGGTCATTCGCATCAACCATTACTGAAGGAGGAGCGCCACGGACGTTTATCCAATTCCAGTGGCCATGGCGACGTCGAAGGCAGGCCTATGCTGCACCATGCGTCCATTCGAACCGAAAGTCCAGGCCATGAAGCGGACATGGCTACTCGTCGGAAATACATTATCGCAGCGATATTCTTGGTCTTGAGTTTGGTTAGCTTCGTCGCGCAGACTGAGGCGGCGGTTTATATTCAGCATGATTTGAAATACGATAAGCCATACCTTATGCTGTAAGTTGGCGAGAAATCATGCCATCGGGGAGAAAGTTTATATGCTTACCAGGAATAGTTACCTTACGCATGGCTCTTGGATTGTCATATGGCCAATTCAGCTCGTCATTCTCCGATTCCAGAACCGGAAGCTCTCGTGGGATGCGTTTTGGCGACGTCATATGTACCAGATCCGGACCACAGCGAGGATGGCCGAATTTCAAGAATTACACCCTAATCCGCATTACAACCGATCCCTCATTCCCTACCTGCTCAGAACAGTGGCATTCGTCACCACTGCTCTTACCATCGCGGGCGGCTCATGGTACGTCGCAGTCAACTTGACCACGGCAAGCGATTTGACGGCGATTTACAACTGCTCTGCCTTTTTCGCATACGCCTTTTCTATCCCAATTTTGAAAGATAAATTGCGGTGGGACAAGGTTCTTTCGGTTGGAGTTGCGATTATTGGTGTCCTTATCGTTGCGTATGGCCCAGACGAACATGAGGCGAAGGATACACCGGATGGCACAGTTGGACAAGCGAAGGATGAGGCTCAGCACCGACTGTTAGGCAATATTCTCATTGGCATCGGAAGCGTGCTGTATGGTCTGTACGAAGTGCTATATAAGCGATATGCGTGTCCCCCAGAGGGCACCAATCCGGTACGCAGCATGATCTTTGCCAACACCTTTGCTAGTTTGTTTGCGAGCTTCACTGTGTTCATTCTGTGGATACCCTTGCCTATTCTGCATGTCTTGGGTTGGGAGAGGTTCGAATGGCCGACGGGCGAGGTTGGCTGGATGGTGATGATTTCTATTATTTCCAATGCTAGTAAGTTCATCTTCTCTCTTATGAGATTCGCGATGCTGACGATATGACAGCATTTTCCGGTTCCTTCTTGGTTCTCATTTCCCTCACATCGCCCGTGCTTTCTTCCGTCGCGGCTCTCCTCACTATCTTCCTTGTCGCAATTGTCGACTGGATGCGCACCGGAGAGCCTCTCTCCCTCGCTTCAATCATTGGTGGTGTTTTGATTATCGTTGCATTCTTCCTTCTCAGCTGGAGTTCATTCCGAGAGATGAGAGAGGAGCAGAAGAAGAAATCCATTGAGGATGAGATGGATTCCGATAATGACGACTAGAGGTGATAGAAGGGAATATAGACTCGACATAGACGATTTCGTGTTTCGTTTCCTTACTTTTTCTCTCATTTTTGCCTTGTCCTTTTGTGCTTTGATTTATAGCAAGGCGCAAGGCGCGGACACGTTTTGAATTGTTTTGGTGTATGGATCATTGTCAACCTGCCATACTATAAGGTTTTGCCTTTTTTTTTTTTTTTTTTTTTCCCTTCATATTTACATTCTTCCATATTCTTCATGTATATTTGGTTTACTTACTTTTCTTTTCACTGCTTTGGGAAGTTACATATTGCCGGATTTATAGAGCCTATGCTGTCTTGTTCATTGCTTTCGCTAGCAGAAGGCATCATGTGATAATACAAGATACCCAACGTCGGGATTTCAAAATATACAACAACCAGTAACCAATTAGAAATGGTCCTAAGAATCGGAGCTAGGACAACCTCTTATCTATAATTGACTGTTCATGTTCACATATAAATATCATTCGTCCATCATCCACAAGCAAAAGAGGAAAAAGCTACAAAACAAAACTCAATGGTACTACGTCTTTCTGACAACAGATATCCCATACTACTTCTCAGACTGCAACCCCGAAGACCTCTACACCTAAAAAGCCCACCGATGGACCTGGAACGAAGGGCAACAACTACGAAGCAGATACGTCTCGTTCGACTTGAATGCCCTGATCCAAGTCGCCGAGGAAGCTGCCGGAGATGATGCAGTTTGCGTCAACATCACCAAGTCACCGGAGGAGAACTTTAATAAGGTATTTCTTGTTACTATGAGAGATGGGAAAGAGGTCATTGTTAAGATTCCGAATCCGAATGCGGGATTGGGCGGTTATGGGACTGCGTCGGAGGTGGTGACGATGAAGTATGCAAGAGAGAATCTTGATCTCCTTGTTCCCAGAGTCCTCAGTTATTGTTCCCGGGTTGACCGGAGTAAATTGGGCGCTGAGTATATTGTTATGGAGAAGGTGAGAGGCGTTGAACTTGGGCGTGTGTGTGGGAGGGTCTTAAGGGTGGGGAGAAGTTGTCTGTTGTGAGGCATGTAGCTTCTAAGCTTGCAAGGACGAGTTTTCCGCTTTATGGTTCACTATACCTGCATGAAGATGTTGGAGGACGAGAGCATCAGGATCGATGATACCTTCGCCATTGGACCGACGACAGGGAGATCCTGGTTTGATGATAGGAGATGCGAAGTCGATGTCCATAGGGGTCCTTATCGCCGCCCCATTCAAGATTTCATGCCTTTTGTGACGGCTATGTGATGACTTAACGCAGTATCAACGGCTCAACACTGCGTCAAAGACCGACACAGACAAACGACATCAATACGCCAGACGAGACGTTAACGACGTCAAGTAAACGCCTATAAAGCCCCTCCTTTCCCTAGATAGATTTTCTCTTCTCTTTCCTCCCCAGATTCGATATTCTCGTCGATGGCTACAATAGTTTAGATAGGAACATTGATTCAATATTATCTACTATTCCGAGCCCGTGACACCTTTGGCAGATTCATGGAGCCCCCCCTTCCCCTGCGGAGGTCACGACGGAACTAATGAAGGAGCTAAAAAGCATTCATGAAATGGTTGAGTACATTTATGAAGCTTTGGTTCCATCAGGACAGGCACTGTCGGAAAACAACGCACAGTTCCAGGATTTGTGCATCACGTTTGACACACTCGTTAAAGCAGTTGAGGACCTTCTCAAGAATACGGATTTATCAAGAGAATTGTAAATTGTAGAAATTCGATGCGAATTATCTAAGTAGGCTCTCTATTTCATTTTAGGTATGCAGCATAACTAACATCTCTTCAAGACTCCCCGTTCATCAGGTACCTGAAAAAGATAATCTCGCTGCCCTGCTCCGTCGAGAAGTTGGAGCGATTTGCAGCAGCACCTCGCAGCTGCAATGCATTACTCCCGAGTGATCAAAGACCCGGAACCGATGATCACTTCCAAGGCAGGCATGAGATTCTGGCCTCAATTCACTGTGAATGCGCAGTGGTACTACATTTCCTGCAACCAACACTTAGAGGCCCACTTCCTCTACCATACATCGGCGTGTCGAAGTTATTGTGTTTTGCGTGCTGGGAATTCCTAGCCTGTTTGCGAGAGTTGACTGGTGTTTACTTCACCACTAGAGGAACTCACGGCAAGACATACTTCCCTTGGAAATATCCGGATGTCGAACTGAGCGACTCTACATGTCGAAATGTTGCACCGCAGATATACCAATATTTCTTTGCAAGAATGGCAGAAAGATATACGACATGTATAGATGCACGGCAGAAAGTCACGGCCTCCAAGAAGGACAAGCACAAATCCCAGGCTTTTCTTGGTGAAGATAACAGAGAACGCGGATCCCAGTTTTCTGGCACCCTCAAAAGAATGAGGGTCGGTCCACGTACAAGTTGAGCTGTTATGGGATGAAGAATAGTTTCTTCTACGTCTATACGGTTTAAGCTTCGTTTAAGAATCAAACTATCTATTGACTAGCCGGATATCGCTCAAACACGTTCGATCCAAGTTGTCCCGCACTAATCGACCGACATATCTCATGATACCGTCTGCAGGAAAACCCGACAAGCGCTGTGTTCCAGCATTTGTGGTGATGGAGCGCATGAAAACTTAAATAAATCGAGACCGGAGGACGGTACCAAGACAGAACGCCATCTCAGTGATACTTGAACCGCAAGGCTTAATGTAACGTTTTCTCCTTTCCATTGCAGCGAAGGCTAGAGTCGAAAGGAAGCGAGCTCGGCTGAACTAGAAACATAGGCTAAGGCAGGCTGCTAATGTGGCCTATAAAAAACAACTCTACGTATTCGACAGAGACAGACAAGGTCTTTGAATTGTTAGCATACTAACTATGATGACAGTCAGTCTCAAACTTGAGAACTATGTGACCCCCCAATAAGCTCATCAATACATTATGATATCGGGATCATATGACGAGGAAGGCTGGAACCGTCGAAATCGCCCTTACCATCTCATTGCACTAGGAACCCCCCAAGTTTATTGTCAAGAAATGGGTGCTTGGGGCTTAGACTTTCACACCTCGAACGAGAACCAATTCTCTCATCGCCACCTGTGTAAAAGAAATTACCGGGGGCTTGCTGAAGAGAGCCAACACATTCTTTTGCCTCACTAACTTGGTTGCCCTAACTACTAATTAGAAGTGGGTATGAGCAGTGAATCATGTGCATTGTTGGTTCTGCTAGTCCAAGTGGTCATCATACTACCTACGAGTCCGCTAATCACATGAAACGTTGGAAGATTATGGCAGAGGTAACGAACAGGTTTAACGGCTTCAACAAGCGGCTGTTAACAAGGAGAGGATCAGGGCGGCTCTTATTTTGATAAGGGCTAATAAAATAGAAGGTCCTGTTCCACACTTGAGACACTGGTCTGGGAAGTCCTCTGTCTCTCCTCTGCTCTCACAATTGCCCCGAGCATCATTGCAGATTGGTTGCGGTCATTCGACTTTTGACGTCCATCGTGGATCTCCATCATGCAAAAAATCAAACAAGTGCCAGGAAGTATGCACCAAAAACAGAAAAGGAATCATCCTTAAGCACCCCTTTATAGCCTACAATCATTACTCTCTCATAATCAGGGTTTACGACGGCCCTAATGAGGACAAACAGGGTGCTTACGCCTTGTATTCTCGCTTCGAAAGATGACGATACCTCAAGGAAATCAAGCCGGCATTTCCAAACATGCGTGCACTCCCACCAATGCTTGTGCGGTCGATTCTCGGAGACTCGAACTACCGATACGAGAAGTCTTCTTGTTTTTGAGATGACTTCTTGCCCTGACTTTCGTTATCTCTTTCGAATCCTAGCCCAATCTGCAAAATGAACAGCATCCAGAGAAGACATCCATTTGTCATAGTGGCCTATATATTTGACGTTTGGTAACCTCGACAGCGAGATGCGGTGCAAACAGCCACAGGCCGATTAACCAAGTTGGAATTCAAGTACCCAGATAAGCCGGGCATGCAAATCATGCGCGAAGGGTTTCCAAGTATGGCACTTACAGGTCTGACGCTGATTAAAAGTGAAGAGGATCTTATCACTCTATTATCATTTAGTTCTGGTTCCTTTCTGGAGTCCGACGGATATTGCTCCGTCAACAACTCCAGATGCTACGCAAGGCGGTGCATCTGAAATAAATCCACCCAGAACAGATGGCTTCAACAAAGCCCCATACGACAAAGGTTGGGAATGTGATGAATCCCCATTCAGGTCTGTGGCAAAGGCAGAGGGCAAATCAACCCATGTGTGAAACAACCTCTTTCTTGAGCCTCGTGCCCAATCGCCTTGCAAAATATCTAATACTATGGTACTTTAGAGTACGTCAGACAGACTATGCTTAGTATGAAGAGCGCGGGGAAGGAGGGATGGGAATATTCTCATTCGAAATGCAAATACGAAACGCAACACATACAACTTCAGTTGGGGCATAAAAGACAAGCATGAAGCCAGTACCAGAGAAACTTTTCTTTGCAAACGTCTTACAACACGTCTTATGGTGGAGCTGACAGCAATGTTGGCCACAAAGGCAATGCTTCATTTCTCCATCCAAATGATACCCAGCTACCGCAAATGTGAGAAACAGGCTCCAGTGAATTATGAATACCTGCTATGCTTCATCTCTAGAGCTGATAACCGAGGGTCTACCGAGATACATAGGTGTCTCCAAGCTATCTTGCATATCATGGAGTCCTTGTCAGATTAGCTGCTGCAAACAGTAATCAATACTCTCTAGGTTTCCAGTTCACCGTACTTGAAATATCAGAAGAGTGTTGAAGGAACGACCATGACTCAAAAGGACTGACAACTTGGCTCTTAATAGGGTGTGAGCCCATGACGGTTGGCTTTTACATCTTGTACGCGTTGCCATTTTGAATTGATAATATCTGCCTTCTCACCATTATTGCATGCGACCTGATCTACCAAACCGTGGCACATTGCCAACACGAAAGTATGTTGAAGAGCTATCTAATAATAGCGAAACAGGCATCCCAAGATGGAGCTTGTGTACCAAATACGATGACCAAAAAACACATCGTCGGAAAGATGATTTTCTTCTGCCTGGACACTTTCTTTGAGCCTTTACTGCCATGGTTATAACCAGTCCTTGCTTCATCAACACCCACGAACAAGCTTGCAGCAGGCTGCGTGTTGTCGCTCCGAGTCACACCATGCCTACAAAAGATCATCTTCGAAAAGCGATCCCCTCAGAGTGCCTCGTTAAACGTATGACAAACCGAAACATGTGATTATTTGATAATAGGGAGCATCTAGAAGCTTTCCTCAAGAACGCGCCTAACCCGGCCATTCATACATCATATCTAACTCCCGATACTGACGTTGCAATTACCCAATCCTCCGATATAATCAAAGGTGATTATGCCAAATTGGAAGAGAGCATTTAAAGCTCGGCGCGGCATGAAGCGTATTGCAGCAGAACATGTTACCACTGTACCAAGTCGCCACCATCCCCATTCTAGGGCTCAGATAACTGCCTTATGGTCTGGATGGCCCAGCTCAGAGTTCGCTTCTTCAACAATTGCCCTTTCGTCTGGGCGGACAAATAAAGGGCTAGGATGGACCTCATTGAAGAAGAACACGCAAACGTACGCACCGGGAGTTATCTCAAAAACCAGCCATCAAACCTTCACGCAAAAAAGCTGAGGGTCTCCAGCTCACGCTGGGATACAAAATATCTGAAAACAATGTTCACTGCGCATTGCTTGACTCGATAATCTCGCTGTAGAGCGCTTTTCCATCTCTACGCGCCACGTACTCAATGATGACCATGAGGCTGAGTTAGAAACCCAACCTTGTCTGCCCTTGCTAGGTTTGAAGACTGTATCTGTTTCGTGAAACACTCTCGGATTTCCCAGCAGTACAAAGAAATTCCGGTTTCCCGTTCATCTGGAGACTGGTCAGATATCTGAAAACAGGGGAGAACATTTTCCAAGCACCTAATTTCGTCACTAGACAGTCCTATTGTGTTCTACCTATCGTAGAGAGAACCCTTCTACTATACAAGCATTACACTCCAATATTCGACGAAATATTGGTGAGCATATTCGTGACGCAAGTTACTACAAGCGCCAAGCACTCTAGGGTATATCACGAGGCACCCGGGGTGCCCTATACATGGACGAAGTCCAATCAATCGTATACCACAACGCAACAACCACCTAATTATACGTTTCCCGCGACATTTTACGACGAACTGTTAATATACCGATAGCACCGCGCGCTTTGAATTCGACAGCTCTCAGAAAAGCAAGGAGAAGTTAGTCGGAATTGCTGACAACGGAGCCAATCCTCCTGCTGCCTTTTGAAATCCGTACGCGACTCGCCCTCTTAGACTCTCTTTGTCAGGGGAGAGGGCAAACCGAGTGAACAAACCTTCCTTTTCTTCTATTAATGGCTGACAAGATTGATGGCTCATGGAAGTTTGTCTGAAATGGACACTGAAAGATAACAATTCATGGGAGCTAGCATTGCATATCGGCACTTAAAGCAACGGTTTACTGTTTAATTAGCTGCTATTATGTGGGGCTTTCTTATGAGCAAAATCGAACAGCATGTCTTACAGACACTCAGCCATTTGTCCTTCTAAAATTCAAGACTGGAGTTTATGACACTCAGAAAAGACCAAGATAGTTCAAGGGGCTGTATAAATACTAGCGTATAACTTCGCTGAAATGTTCTATACGAAACTAACTACACGATTGACAAGAAATAGAAGCAAGGAATATAATCCTTAGAGCCTTATGTGACATCAACCAAGTCAAACGCTTGCTGAAGAGAAGAAAGAATCAAGGGACCTAAGGTAACGTAGATAGATATATCGACAGGAAGGCGAATGAGTAGAGAAAAAAGGAGATACAAAGCAAGAAAATGAAATTATCTGGGACCGAGCTTCTCCAGAGCCCGAGCACCCTGCTCCTCCCATTCTGCCTTGGTCACCCACATGTCCTCCTTGTCGGCGATCAGGTTGGCCAGAACAGCACCACCCAAGAAGACCATGTGTCTCCGTCGAGGAGGATCTTCGATGCGGACCTTGAATTTCTGTAGTTTTCGTTAGTTCTTGCCTTTCTCGAACATGGAGCGAAGTACATACGTTCAGTCTCTCCGGGTCCCCTTGCAACACCCGCGTAAGCCACAGCTGCTTGACTTCCTTCTCCAACCGCGATGGCAGACCCGGGTACATGCTGCTACCACCACTGAGCACAACTGCCCTGTACAGACTGGAACGCACATCCACATCAGCACCCTGGATGGTGTTGAAGAGCATCTCTGCAATTCCGGGTTGGTCGACGTCGACCAGGTGAGGCTGGAAGAGACATTCGGGGGCCTCGAAGCGCTCGCTTCCTACCCGAATGACTCGACCGTCGGGAAGGGTGTACGACTCGACCAGGACGGTGGTATCTTCGGAGAGTTGCTTGTCCAGCTCCAGGTCGTAAGAAACGTAGCAAAGCTTCTCCTTGATCTGGCGCACCGTCTCGAAATCTGCCGTACGGTTCAGGGCGTATCCACGGCGGAGAAGGAGGGCGATTAGGTTCCGGGTAACGTCGCGACCAGCAACATCCAAACGGCGGATATGGTGGTTCAAGACTGTGGATTCGTAAACGGGGATAATGTGGGTGACACCATCACCGGAATCAACGACCACACCACTGCTAAGACCTGTAGAAACTTAGTTTCTTCCTTCCAGGCACATGAAGAGCAGAACGGCCTACCCTGAGCGTACAGTGCCAGCACCGCTTGAATCGCCACGTAAACACCCCCGAAATTGTATCCCTCCAGCATGGTCTCGGCCATCCGTTCTCGGTTCTTCAGGGGGTTCATAGGAGGTTCGGTAAGGAGGATCTTGCGACCCGTGGGATCGATGTTCATCTTATCGTAGAAGGTGTAGTTCCATAGGTGTTGCATGTCATCCCATTTCTTGACGATACCATTTTCCATCTATTGAATTCCGCAAAATGATTCGCGATGCGACCAGATTAACACAACTGACAAGACACCGTTGGGGGAAGCAAGCGGGGCAGGGCAAACGAGACGCAACGGACGCGCAGGGGACCAAGACGTACAGGATAGCTGATTTGAAGCATGGATCTGGCGGCGGCAGCTTCATCTCCGCACATAATATCCTTGACGATGATGTCGCCAGCCTGTTCCTCCGTCCGGAGTATGGGCCGCCCCACTATCGAGGGGAACTGATGCTCTGGGAAGTTCTATAGGAGACGAGGTCAGAATGGAATACTGTAACCGAGAAGGATTGAGTGTACCTGTGCAGCATATCCGACCTTGAGGAAACCAGTTCCTCCGTCGAGGACTGGGGAGCTAGTTAGCTATGCTCGGGGATGTGATGCGGTGACGGAGAGGTAGAGGAGCTCACCAATGGGCATTTCCGCCATGATTGCGAGTCGTTCAGGTACAATTTAACTAAGGACGGACGGGTATAAAAGAGCAGAAGGGAGTTCAAAAAGAAAGGAGATGATAGAAGAATGACAGAAACCTGGGGAGGAAGAGAAGCAGGAGAGTCGAGGACACGGTCGATATGGGGAACTCCGGCGGTGGTCAGGTGCGGGTCTTGGCAGGAGTTTTAAATGGCTGTCAGTTCTCTCTTTCGTCGACAACAGAGACAACAGAGACAACGACTTGCTGATGTTCCCTTGATTAGATTCAATTGCTTGGTACCAGCACAATGCTGGAGAAAGTGCCATCTATTTATTATTGTGCTGTATACTGACGAAATTAGAGCCTAATGGCTACTACAAGATCTCCATGCAACGCCAACGTTCAACCAAGAGCTTAGTTAATAGCACTATATACATTTGCTTGTCAAGTGCGCTTTGATAATACAAGATCAAATAGCAGAATGCATACTGCATAGATTATACAAATGCAACCAGCTTGGACCAAGACATCAAAACCAACGGCATGGATTGGTGGCCTGAGGCTTCAACCGTTTCAACGGCTAAAGAGTACAGCAGTTGCATTTCAGGAATGATGTAATTTATCACCAGTTGAGAAATTAATTGCTTAAATTCAATGGTCTGCAGAAAGCGGAAAGAAAGAATTGTCAATCCGTAGGCACAAGGATAGTGATAGCACGCATAGTATGGCATTGTCAAAATGAACAAACACATTAAACGAGTCCCCTCTCTACTCCGCATATACTCTAGGAACAAGAATTAGATATTGCCCACGGCATCCATAGGTATACGGAGCATAGCTTCAAGATAGTTAAAGCACCTTTCGGCCGACATCGGGACGATTCGGTTATCAATTTTTATCTCGTCCATCAACGTCCTGCCATTCCACCAAAACGCCCTTCCCAAGTAGTCCAGACATAACCACACGAAATGACACGAATCGGCTGGGTAAGCCAAACACCCCCTCCCACACAAGAATGAACGCAGCTAACAACCCCAGTATGGCCTCGGCTCCATGGGCCTAGCAATGGCCACCAACCTCCAACGCCATCTCGTCACCAAAAAAGCCCCCGGAATGATCTATTCCAACCGCACAATGGCACGCGGCAACCCCCTGCAAGCACTAGGCGGCACCTCCGAGACCAGCTTCGAGAAAGTCATCGGACAGTGCGGGATCATCTTCACCATGATCTCGAACGACGCCGTGCTGTCCAATCTTGTCTCCACCGCTGTTAACTCCGGGCAGTCCCTCCGCGACAAGATCTTCGTTGACTGCTCCACTGTTCACCCGCAGACCGTGGGATTGACTGTCTCAAAGTTGAGGGAGAAGCAGGCGGCGTTTTTGTCGGCTCCGGTGTTTGGGGGGAATCCGATTGCTGTGGATGGGAAGTTGGTTTTTGCGATCGGGGGGCCGAAGGATGCTGTTGGGGTGGTGAAGCCGTTGATTCAGGATGTTATGGGGAGAAGGGTTATTGAGTGTGGGGAGGATGCTACTAAGGCTTCGTTGTTGAAGATTGCAGGGTGAGTGTCTTAATTTTTGCTGTGTGCATGTGATTGAAGGAAGGGGGTTGCTAATGGAGTAGAAACATCATCACCGTCAACATGATGGAAGCCGTTGGTGAATCCCAAGTCTTCGCTGAACGCACCGGCCTCGGAACGGGTCCTATGGAGGAACTCATCGGAGAGGCTTTTGGTCCAGTTGCCGGTGGTTACTCCAAGAGGTATTCATCCAACCATCCACACCTTCCCAAGCAACACAACTGACCAAAACAGATTGACAACCGGCGCCTACGCACCCCCTCTTGACTCCCGTCCCGGTTTCGGCGTGTCTTTATCCATCAAAGACGCAAACCACGCCTTGACCATGGCCAAGGATCATAACGTCGAACTGCCTGCTCTGGAACTTGCCCAGGAGAACATGGAGGCTGCGAGAGAGTACGGCGGCGAGAGTCTGGATAGCAGCTCCATGTATGGTGTCCTGCGTCAGAAGGCGGGAATGGAGTTCTGGAATGAAAAGAGTAGAAAGGGAGGGTCTTAGATTAACTTTTGTATAGATGTGTATATAGAGTGTGTTCTTCTCTGTACATACAGAAAAAACAGATCCCCAGCTCAGTAATCAAATTATAACCCAAAATTAACAAAATGCCAACCCTGCTCTATGCGCCAAATTATTCACAAAACAGATGATGAAAATTACACTCGTAGTAAATCGGCCCCCAAAGCGCCTGTTCAGACGCCATATAAACATAGCCCTCCTTTTGCCTTCCGAACACACCCACCCAATATATATATATCAAAAAAGAAAGAAAGAAAAAAAAAAAAAAAAAAGGAAAAGAGAAAAGATCACGGCGTCTGCCACGGAACCTTGATCTTAGTCATCTCAACCATCTCCGGATACGCCTCCGCAAAAGCAGGCCCCAGAGACCAATTCTCCAGATTGCGGAAGTGCCTCTCAAACACCGGGTTAACGAGCAGCTCATCGCATTCATTAGTCGACAGTAAACAGTCTGTAGCTTCGTACGGCCAATTCACCGATAATGTCTCCGTGAACGGCACGAACCAGTTCTCGAACACATATCCCTGGTGTCTCATCACGAGACGGTCCCGCATCCGCGGCCACGGTAGGTAGTCTATCCAGGGAGGGTGCGGTGTGAGAAGCTGCGAGGGTCGAGGCGTCAGCCAGTCGGGCATTCGATCGTAGTTCTCTGCCGTTGGGTAGATTTGCCACCGCATCAGGAGGAACATCAGATACAGGACAGCGACTTGCTCCGGGAGCGAGGCGATATTAGGAAACGTCCGTAGAATATCGGTGAAGACTTTCGAAACTGGGTGCGAGTACATGCTCTTCTCCGGATTCAGAAGCGAGGACACGCTCGGGTATGGAGGCCCGACTAGATTCTGCTTCGGTACCCCCTGGGCCGCCTCATGCTGTCGGGTGTGAAGGAAATCCAGCAAGACGGCATCTAGCGTACAGGTAGGCGCGGAATTTCTGACCAATGTCAAGTAGGCAGGAGGAGGTCGGTCAGTCACAGCGGGATTGACTGGTGGCGTGTAGATTGGAAGTTGATCCACTTGCGTAGCCTGTCTGAGATTGTCCACCTTCGAGACTGTCTTCGAGGGTTCGAGCAAGAAGTTGAATCCCAGTCGCTCATCGGTGCTAAAATCAAGTCCGTGCGTCAAATTATGTCGTTGGTAATCTAGAGCAACGCGAAACGAAGCGCTCCCGTCAACGCTGCTCATGCGAGCACCGCCCAGCGTGGGCGCTGAGTGTGTTGGCGACGGTGTTCCTAAGCTTGCAAGCGATTCTGGATACGATTGATCTGCTGTTGCTGACTTCTGGCTGTTGGGAGTGGATCGATTATTGTCAAGGGGCGGCGATGGGTTCGACGGAGGCGGGACGAGTTGGGTTTGAGCATTGGGAGCAGCTGTTGGACCGTCTAAGACAGTTAGTTAGGATCAAGACGACTAATGTCAATAAACATGTCTCTCTCAAGACAAGAGAATTAAAAAAAATAAAAATAAAAATAAAAAATAAAATAAAAATAACAAGGGTCGTGCTCACTCGATGTAGGTTCCCGTTTCCCCAGCGGCTGGATAATATCCATCACAGCCTGTAACCTCTGCCTTAACTCTTTATTTTCTTCTTGTATTGCCTCATACCTCTTCACCGCAGCCTGCAAATCCAAGATCGGCTTCTGCGACGACAAATCGCGCACCTGCTGCTCCAGAGCATCAATATGGGTCTTGGTCCGTTCCCTAATGGCCCGCTGCGCCTGCCGGTCATTGGCACGCTTCTTCGCCAACTGATCGGGCGTGAGGTTCGCCACGCCGCGAGCAGAGATACTGTTCAGCTTGCGCTTGCGCCCAGCTGTCGATATACCTTTTCTGCTGTCATCGTCTGCTTGGGGGGTCTCTGCTTCGGCGGACTCGGGTCGGGACGGAGCTGGGGAGTCTTCGAGTTTCACGGAGTCTGCGCGGGCTAGCGCTGGAGGCGCTGTTGACTGGGGTCGACTCGCGTCATTGATTAGAGGTTCCGGAATTGCTGTGGACAATGAAGACTTGTTTAGGGTAGATGCTAGAGCCGCCTCTTTAGGTCCGGGGGAAGCCATGACCTCACTGTGCGCACAATCGATAAGAAACGGCCATCTAACGAGAGACGAAAAGGGGGAGAATAAATTGAAGGATATATCAGCACTTGACAACCTGGGTAATTAGAGAAAGAGAAAAGGGGACTTGGCCTGTGATGATGATGCAAAGAGCCAGACGGTTCTGTCCAGAGTATGCGATACGAGCTGGAACCCACCGAACCAACAGGAGTGGGACCCGTCGCAATGCAACAGCACGATCTTAGATTTACTAGATGAACACTAGAGATATGTTCAATTTGTGCAGAAATCGCGTAGAAAAGAAACCCTTTTTATATTCTTCTTTTCCTTTATATCCCCAGGAAATGTGAATCAATAAAACGCCCATGAATTGCTGCACGAGTCAGGCCCACTGATCCAAAATGAAATTCAATATACATTGACTTGATCAAGCATCCCAGGACCGACCGGGAATATATGGTATCAAGCAGAGCCACCAGGAAAAAGAAAAGAGAAAAGAAAGCCGATACTTGCTCGTCTATGTGCGCAGTATAAAGTGTGCATGTACAGAATGAAGAAGAGATGCCTGCTCGCCTGGAAGGTAACAAAATGATGCCAATCGCCAGCCCAAATATACAGAAAATAAACAATAGTAAAGAGAACATATACTAATAGATGACAAACGGAATCTTGGCAATGCCTATGGATCATCGAATCATATGACCCATCTTTGCAATCTATACGGGTATTAGCCATTGTAGTCTCGAATTGGGAAAGGGCGCAATACAAACCTTTGTCCGGAGATAACCCTCGACCTCTGTGCTCTTAATGCCTGTCTTCCCACCGGTACTCCATGCCAGGGGAATCATTGCTACTCTCTCCTTGACCACCACCTCTCTCTTGGGACCCTCGACAGCCCGGACCTTGTCTGGGTTGTTCGTAAGTAGTCGGATTCCATGAGGATTGGAGTCCTCTCCCAGGCCCAAGTCGGCCAACATGGCAGTAGCCAAGCCGTAGCTTCGTCCATCGGCAGGGTGACGTAGAAACAAGTTGGCCTCTACAGTGTCGGATCCCAGATCCTGAAGATTATAGGCTTTTAGTTTCTCCCCCAGACCGATTCCACGACCTTCTTGTCGTAAATAAATTATAACGCCACCCGAAGCATTGGATGGCACGGACAAGCCTTGTTGCGTCGCAAGTTCGGATAACGTCTCGATCGGAAGGGACATTAAACGCGCAGCCTCATCCAATTGCTCGCCGCAGTCGCAGCGTGCCGACCAGGCTGTTTCGCCCGTGTAGCATTCCGAATGGATTCTCACTAACGGCGCCTGGCTGAGGCTGCCCTGCAAAGCCGCTGGCGAAGTCGACGATGCTGACGATGGAGGCGGAGACGATCCTGATTCCGATGAATCGTCCGCAATGTCGGTCGCTGAACCTTCTGCCGCTGTTGTGTGCTCGGGATCATACCAGCTGCTTACACGGCCCGGATGCAGTCGGCCGACATATGCACCACGGATCATCCGGTCCATTTCCGTCTCTCCTGGGCGAACTTGATCCAAGCTTCGACTGCGAATGCTGTTCCCAAACACAATCGCCAGATGTTCTTTGTTGTCAATGTCATTATGGTATAGGTGGAGGAACATCTCGGTTCCGGTGGTGGTGGGGATCCGGGCGCGAACAATACACTCGACATTGGGCAGTCGGGGGAGAAGCTTCGGGTGCTTTGCGTGCATATGCATGCTCGTCAATCCGTTGCCGGGGAGTTGTTGGCTTTGCTGGAAGAGTTGCGACGAGTTCACGGTACCCCCAGGAGTCGCGGGCGGCGTAAAAGATGGCGAGAGCAAGGACGCAGGTACCCCAGGTGCCATCTCGATATGGTCATGTTCTGTGCTACTTGCAGGGCTGGCTCGGTCCTGGGGTAGGTCGGGTCTCTTACCGGCCGACTCCGCAGCGGGCAGGACGGGACTGAAGGAATCGATGCCATTGACCGCTTCACTCGAAGAAGTAGGCCGAAGTGATTGCGGAGAGAAAAAGCGAGAAACGTGAGAAGGTAGGTCGGCCATTGTGGGAGGAGGAAAGCGATGGGACAATGGATGGGAAAAGATGGCGACTGATAGAAGACGGGAGAAGGGACGGGGCCGGATACATATACCGGGGGGGGGAGCGCTTCAAGGCGAAGACGAACGAACAATCCGGGAAGAACGCCAGACGACGCAGCCCATCATTCCGTAAAGGAGACGATCTGGAACTTCATCAAACTGCCGCCAGACGGTTTCTGGTTGGTGGTGATAGGCGTCGTGGATTCGTCGTGGTGGTAATTCCCAGACTCCAGTGTCCAGTGTCTGGGAGGAGGCAAAGTCCAGCGCTTAGTCACCGGCAAGCGGCGGTTTCAAAGGTATTAGTCACCCAGAAGGGGGGGATGATCGGCGAGACGGTTTATTTGCCGCGGTTGTCTATATGAAGATAACCGATCTCATGGCCGAAAAGAGCTGAAGATGAATACCAATAAAGTTGAGATTGATGGAGACGCGTGGTTAGTTAGAGCTTGACATCCCGCACGTCAGGCTGTGCCGTCCGCATATCTCGGAGGTTTCATCAGTAGCATGGCAGTGGGGGGAGCGTGGTGTAAAGAGATCTCCAGGGGATTTCTGTTTCATCAATTTACGTTACGAAAGAGATATATGAACATAATGGTCTAGTATTAGAGGGGAGCAAGATGCGATGGAGAAGAGAAAAGCAAACAATTAGAGATGATATTCAATTCACAAGAGATAGAGTATTCCCAAGAGGACCGGTGTCGGTATGAGTTCTCTAGATCTACATTATCATCCGGTGTTCGGATCTCAAAATGTATTTGCATCCAACGATCAAGTCGGAGAAAAAAGAAGGGAAAAAAAAAAAAAAAAAAAGAAAAAGAAACAAACAAAAGATAAAGAAAAAGAAGAAAAAAGCAGTTTGGCTCACAAAAAGGGTATCATGGCTCAATCCTCCTGCCAGCCCAGGGCCTTTGTGGTTTCAAATTCGCCTCCAGAACGTCAAACAAAAAAGAAACGTGGGAAAGCGTGGGCTGGTATGGAGTAGAAGTAGGTCTATGCCGTAGGCGTCGTAACATCACTTTCCTGGAATCTCTAGGACAAAGCGTTTGTCCACTTCCATCTCCTTGTCATCTTCTTCACCCTCAAACTTGAGACGATAGACATCTTTCCTCGATCCCGTGACTTCCGCGCGGTAAAACGTAGTCGTATCGGGATATCGGGCCAACACTTGCTTCCCTGGCGGAAACAATGGCAGGGCCGATCCGATATGTGGGATTGGGATTAAAGAGGCTGCTGTTGTTTTGTAGACTGCGCCTTGTTCGCCATTCTCGTTTGGTTCGGGGTCCTGGACATCATACCTTTTTTTCTGCGGTCAAACAAAATATTCACTGGAGATAACGGAAAGGATCAAGCTAACATACCGTTTCTTGTGTCCGTCACCAGCAATATTTTTGATGATGCATTGTATCCCTTCTCCCTCGACACCTTGCTTGTTCTTATTATGCTTGAAAACAACTTCCGCGCCAATCACTAGGTGACCACTACGCTCCGCAATGGTGCCTTTGGTGCTTTCCGTCCCTTCTTCAATCTTAACAGCCACATTGTCTCGGACCTCACGATTATCACGGGTCTGAGTACTGGATACGCTACCGCTACGTGGAACAGTGCCCTTGATGCGGCTGGCCTTGTCCGACACAGACGGACCGGTGGGCCCGGGAGATTCTGTGGATGACCCATCCAGTTCATTGCGCTTCTTGCGCGACTTGGAAAGAGATGTGGCTCGATTGAGTGGTGCCTCCGCTTCCGAGGCCTGGCGTAGGGCAGTGAGAAGTCCCAGATTTTTGACCACGTCGCTGGGTTCGTCTAGCAGAATTGCTCTCTCTTCTTCACATAACTTGGCCATCTGTCGAAGGAGACTGTCCAGGTCGTTATGATCATTGAGGGTGGTCTCTGTAATTAATAGTTAACACATAAATTCATCTAAGTATCCCCAACCAAAAACAAATTTCTGAACAACCAATGCCAAGGCAAAAAATATGCCCACATAAGCTACGATAGCCTCAAGGCACATGAATATAAGAGAATAGATGAAACATAAAGCAAACTTACTGCCTGTCTCTTTGCCCATCCTTTCATTGAGAGTCGCAATCTGTTCTGCCAGAGATCTTTGCTTATCATTTTTCTCTTTGGACTTTCTCAGATCCTGTAGGATCTTGTTCCACATGTCAGTCTCCTCATTCGCCGCCAGCCCATTATCCCGGGGCAATGGGGGCCCTCGAGGACGATTCCGTGACATGGCCTCGGCCGCTGACCGTCTCGATTTTTTGCCGTTTCCAGCGCTTGCGACGGCAATTGAAGGCTGCGGCTCTCTTTTGAGTTTGAGCGCCTCCCACTCAAAAGCGGACACAATCTTCTGGCCAGCAGCGCTGCGTGTTCCGCGGGCTGCCCCCTGTCTCTGACTATGCGGACGGGGTTCCTTAACCTGAGGCTCTGATGCAGGAGCGAATTGCTTTTCAGAGCCAAACGCCTGTCCACTGCGTTGTTTGCGATGCTTTTGCCGCTGGTTCGGGCTCGGATTCTGAGTTTGATATTGATACAGAGACCGCGTATTGTCCGGCAGCTGTTCTTGGGATGGCGGTTGACCCCCAGGCTGGCGGCTGTCCTGGCCAATGACACCTCTTGTCGCCCTCTTGGCAGTGTTTATCGCTTTATTATTGGGCGGTAGGCGCTTTGTGGGCCAGGCGACGGTGTTATTGGGCGAAGCCATGACAGTCACGTGCGGCGGATAGATTTCCGAAAGAGGAATGGAGGGGTTGTGGTGGGAGAAACAGTAAAACGGCGATCAAGAAGAGGACAACCTTCAACCAGTCACGAGGATTCGAAGAAGAAAAGAAAACAAGGAAGAAGAAAGACAGAGCGACATCAGCGACAAAGAAAGGGAACTCTACGGGCGCCAGAGATATCTTCTACTGGCCACGTCCTTTATCTACAGCTTGCATTCACTCATCTTCAAGCCATTACTCAGATTCAACGGCCAACAATGCAGGTCCCATTGCTTCGTCTCCAGTGTGGTATGTGTTATAGATTCACTGGTGGTAGCTTTAGTGGCTGGAGACTAACTATACATGTCAATTGAATAGGTGTCAACAGCTATGACTGGGGTAAGAATGCTGGTTATCTCTCCATGGGGTCCCCGTACTGAATATCGTCATAGGCAAGATTGGCCAGGAGTCGGCTGCTGCCAGATTTGCAGCCACCACAGCTGCTCCGGACTTTTCGATACAGGCAGAGAAGCCTTATGCTGAAGTGAGTTCAGGAAAAAATAATAAATAATGCCAATGGTTGACTGATGTCATTCTAGCTGTGGATGGGCACGCATCCTTCGCTTCCCTCCAAAGATGTTGAGACTCAGAGAACATTGTTGGACCTCGTCCAGGATAACCAGGCGTTGATCTCCACTGAGGTCAGCGAGCGATATGGTGGAAAGCTTCCGTTCCTCTTCAAGGTGCTTTCTATCCAGAAAGCTCTGAGTATCCAAGCGCACCCGAACAAGAAATTGGCGGAGCAACTCCACGCCAAAGATTCCCGAAACTACCCTGGTAAGCTTACTTTTACCAATACCTTTTGCTCCATTTCTAAGCAACGGCCTCTAGATGACAACCACAAACCGGAAATGACTATCGCCGTTACGGCGTTTGAAGGACTGTGTGGCTTCCGTCCGTTGGCAGAGATCGTCTACTTCCTTAACGCTCTGAAGCCGCTTCGGGAGCTTGTGGGTGAAGAGGCGGCCAGCCAGTTCGAGAACGCTGTCAAAGGAGCAGAAGACTCCGAAGACTCCGACGTTAAGCAGAAGAACAAAGACGCATTGCGCGCTGTCTTTAATACGTTGATGGAGTCGACCCCGGAGAAGATCGAGGCAGCTACAAAGGACATCATTGCCGCTGCTGAGATCTCCCCAGAAACATTTGCTGCTTCGGATGGCTTCCTCGTGAGCAGCCCTAGCAGTCCCACAGAGCTGGCCGCCATTATCCGCCGTCTCAATGGCCAATTCCCCAACGACATTGGGCTGTTTGTGTTCTTTTTCCTCAACTTCGTCGCCATGGAGCCCGGTGAGGCCATGTTCCTGAAAGCTGACGACATTCATGCATACATCTCCGGAGATATCATTGAATGCATGGCATCCTCTGACAACGTTGTGCGCGCTGGTTTCACTCCCAAGTTCAAGGACGTGGAGACTCTTACAAACATGTTGACCTACTCATACGCACCGATCGAGGAACAGAAACTGGAGCCTGTTGATTATCCGTATGCCGTGCTGAATGTGCCAGCGTACTCAAGCGGATCGTCCTGTGTTCTCTACAATCCTCCGATCGAGGAATTCAGTGTGGTGAAGACTGACCTGAACAGAACGGGAGCTAAGGCGACCTTTGATGGACTTGCTGGGCCCAGTATCCTGATCTGCACAGGCGGACAGGGCCAGATCCGGGTTGCGAACAAGACGGAGGAAATCAAGGAGGGATATGTGTTTTTCATCGGAGCGACTGCTGAGTGTATCGTTGAGAACACCGATGGAGGGGAGGAGGACGAAAAAGTCTTCACTACCTTCAGGGCATTCTGCGATTTAACGGGCAAGGAAGACATGGCGAACGGCAATTAGTGGGAGTAGGCACAAATGTAATATCAGTGTCCATGGAATACTATGTTCAATAATCACAGATCATGTCTGCACTTTACGCTTGTGGAGCATGTATAAACAAAGCCAAGCGAATAATAAACGAGGGTCAATGAATCATGCATTGCTGCTAAGGATCGGCAACAACCGAGGTCAATCAGCTTTCTCCTCATTTCGCCATCTCAGAACGCTGACTGCACTAGGCAAAAGGCTAAGGTATACATGCGCCCATTTAATGCGAGGGTACCCTCTCTCCATATTAAGATGTCATCAACCTCTCCTCCCTCAGAAACACCTCACCACTACCATCCATATCAATGAACAAACCATCCTCATCTCCAGGTCTCTCCCTCTGGGAGAAGATCGATCTCTTCCCCGCTCTTCTCTCCATCCTCACCTCGACCCTCTACGGCTCTGTTACGGGCTTGTTTCGAGGCAAGAACGGCACAAGCACCTATCGTCTCCATCTCTTCCGTCAGTTTCTACATACGTGCCTTCAGCGGTTGTCGTTGAAACAGACTCAGTAAGTTCTCTATCGTTTACTGACCCTGTCTGAATGAAATGGTTGACATAGTCGTAGATATTTGACCCCACCCACGAACAAGAGCTATGAGGACTGGTCTATCAGGGAGCAAGTCCAGCCGGTTACAATCTCTTTAAACCACGGCGCCTTTGGCCACTGGGTCGGTAAGAAGAATGCCAAAAAGGTGGTGGTTTATTATCACGGTACGTCCCTGCTCTCTCTCTCTCTCTCTTACCTTGACAGAATATATATCTAACTCCGTACTTGTCGTATAGGAGGCGGCTTCGCACTCCCCGGCACACCTGAACATTTCGCCTTCTTCACAGAGATCCTCAACTCTCTCAACACAACGGGTGACAACATCGCCTTTTTCTTCCTTACCTACACCTTGACCCCGAACGCCGTGTATCCAACTCAACTCACTCAAGCGGTCGATGCCCTGCGTTATATCCTCACCACCCGCAAGCCATCCGACGTTTTTCTCGGTGGTGACTCCGCCGGCGGGAACCTCGCTCTCACTGTCCTTACGCATACCGCCCATCCGCACCCTGAAATCGAACCCCTCCCCATCTCCGACGATGATGAGAATGGGTCGCTAGCAGGCGTGTTCGCCATTGCGCCCTGGATTTCTTTCCGCACAGACTGGCCCTCGCTCAAATCAAACCATTACAGCGATATCATCTCGGCTGCAAACCTGGACAAATGGTCCTCCGGTTACTTGGATGCGCGCAACGGTGAGGGTGATCCCTGGAGCGAGCCGTTGTCAGCGCCTGCGGGGTGGTGGAGGGATGTCAGGGCGAAGGCGCTGTTGGTTACGGCTGGCGGGGATGAGATTTTGCTCTCGTCTATCGAGACGTTTGTGGATAAGGTGCGGTCGTCGGAGACTGAGGTTGAGTTTGTGGTTGGTGACAGGGAGACCCATGCGCCAATGATGTATGGCGGTGAAACAAATACACAGCAGGGAGCGGCGATAGAGAAGTGGTTGGCTGGTCAGATTAGCAGTTAATGAGGTATCTGGTATACGTTTGATTATTACACTAAGGATAGTTGCGCCGTCGTATCAATTCATTAAGTAACCCGGCAATCAATGTGGTATATCTATAACAAATGCGAATCGCAGAAAATTATCAAGACAGAATTCACGAAGACACCCGCGGAGAATACTTGGCAGCCGTCATATCAAAAAGCTCGCTCTTCTCTTGAATATCGGACAAAAGGGTATGCGATGGCTGAACCTGCTGAAGACGTCTGCGAAACAGTTAGTCTAAGATGCTCGGGGAGAGAGGGTGAGAAAAAGGGAACATACGACTCCAACTCCTCAGTCGGCTTCCCAGCCAACACATTCAACACAATCGTGTTGGCAATCAACTCCACATCATCGGGGTATTTCTCCAGAGCAGCCGACAGCGCAGCCTCAGCCTCGGGGATCCGTCCCAGGTGCAATTCCGCGACGGCCTGACCGACAGTCGACAGCGCAGCAGTAGTACTAGGGGCGGCTGCGAGTTCTTCGTAGACATAGAATGCGGATTGGTATTGTTCGCCGCCCTGTACGGAAGAGTAATCATGATTAGAACCGAACCGCTCAAACCCATAGGGAAAAGGGATAACGTACAACTCTCATTCCAACCCACGACTCAGCCAGATTCACCAAAAGCGAATCCTGAGCCCAGCGCTTCGCAGCCTGCACTTCCTTAATTGCCAAATCGGTCCGGTTCTGTTGTAGATGGATCTGAACGATCAAAGCGACCCTATACCCAATTAGCCCCCTCTCACCCTCCAATAACGCAAGGAAGAAAAGACTCACGCCTCAAGACTCCCCTGATGCATACTCAAAACCCCCAACGCCTCATCCTCCTTCCCCGATGCCGCCAACACCGTCCCAGCACAAACCAGCACACTAGCATTCTCCGAATATTTCTCAACAAGCTTCTGCGCGCCCTTCACCGCACTCTCCTCGTCGCCCGCCGCATGCTGCGCCAGCGCCTTCACAGCAGCGAGGTCCGGGGTGTCATCTTCGGTCTGGATTTCGGCGAGGACTTGGTCGGACTGGCCGAGGGCGATTTTGGCGCGGAGTTGCAGGACGCGGGCGGGGAGGTGGTTTTCGGGGGAGAGCGCGGAGGTGTCGAAGTCGAGGACGGATTGGTATTGGCCTTGGTGGAAGGCGCTGTGGATGTTGATGAGTTCTGGTTGGTGGTGGTTAGTTGGCTATGTGTACGGAGTACGGGGGATGGGGTTGAAGGAGGGGTTGGTTTATTGGGTTTGGGGGAGACATACCACCCTCTGCTGAGAAAGGATCCATGACTGCGGTTAATTGATTATGGCTGTAGTGTTGAGCAAAAAGTATTTGGTCTGGGGTATCGTCGTTCCTGAGATGGTTGATGGGCGAGAAGCGTCACGTTGCCTTTTGGGACCGCTTCGGGAAGGTTGACCGAGGCGGTCAGTCTGGCAGGTCAACCGGACTATGTCACGATTATACAAGTCTACATGGTATAGATGAACAAAATCGAATTCAAATCAATTTATATAGTATGCACAAAAGATACATGAACATGCAATATCGTCAAATTTCGTTATATCCCGAAAATGGTCCAACAATCCGAGTAGCATCAAGCTACTACAACCTAATCATACAACATAAGAACAGAGAACAGTAACATGATCTGATATAAAAGCGCGATCCAGTCGCGCGTGATCATATTAATAACACAAGTAGCAGAAAGTATAAAGACCGACATGACTCCTGAACCATGGCCGGGGCGAGATGTGTTCTCAGAAACCCAGTAAACGAGAGCAGGATAACTCGAACACGAAATCTCGCCATGAGGAGCGTGTATATATTCACGCCCTCTATATGTATGAAATCCACCGCTATGCATATTTGACAATGCAACCCATTTTTTCCTTGGTGACTCCCACAAATGCTGTTCATCCTGACCGATTCCCTTGAACCAACCTGATGACCGAAATCCCATACCCGAAATAAACATAACATATGCAACGAAGGTATAACTCGAGCAAGACAAAGGAGATGCAAACATATGGTATCGCCAGACAGGTATAGTAAAGCAGGGAAGAAGAAGTAGAAAACAGATGGCAGTAAAAGGAAATCCAACGGTATTCTATGGGAGTGAAAAACACTCCATGCATAGCCCGTTGGTAACAGAATGAACAAAAATATAACAAGATGTTGTCAAATGCCATGGCTTTCAAGAACCCATGAGTGACCGCAACGCGCCATAAGCTCCCATGAAGAAAGAAATGAAAAACAAATCAAAAACGCCGCTCCTTTTATTTGCACATGGTTGGATATGAGAGAAGATGAGTCGTGATAATCGAAAACAGTAAATCAAAGAGTAAAATGAAAATGATGAAAGAAAAGGACAAAACGAGAGATAGATGGCTACCCGCACGTCTATGATAGAGGCAGCGACGATGTCGTCGATGTGGCAGAAACGGTAGGGGTTAAGACTGGAGAAGTAGTGTATCTGTCTTCCGGACTTGCTAGAGACTCGCTGCCCTTCTCCGACTGTTGATCCCGATCCCGTTCAGTGGAGGTACCGCGTTTGAAGACGGTTTGGCTGATTTGTCGGAGAATACCCATTCTCTCGGCCCTGAGTTCCTCGACCTCTAGCCGTGGAACAGGGACGGGCTCCTTTTTGGTGATCTTGCAGAAGAGGGTCGAGAAGAGGAACTGATCACCACTGCCGTCATATAACGGCAAGTATCGGTAGCCCTGAGACAAGCTGCTAAGCTTCGCGGTGAAGGTGGCCAACTGGACACTGTTGTTGCCAGGTGTGCGTCCATCGACGGAGCTCCAGACGACCCAGCGGACGAACACCAAGTCGGGATACTTTGTCTCAAGCGACAGCTTGAAACGATCGTTGAAGATGGGGTTGTAACCATTGCTTTGTTCAATTTTAGTGCGCCGCCTATGCGGGAACCCGAGTCCAGAAATGCCGTTGCGCGCAGAAGCATTCATGCCTCCTTCTCCAACAACCAGGCTCTGGCCACGGTCATCAGCACTGAACATTTCGATCTCGACGTATGGGTTGATGTTATCATCGGGTCCGATGCTGCTTGGGCGAGGTAGTTGTTGAGCCGAAATCACGTCAACCGAGAACTCGACACGCTTCCGTTCGGTTTTCAGCTTCTTCTCTGCATCGAATGGGTCGGAGACGCGGAGACTCTCTGGCTTTAGAATATACCCCATGCGGTCGGTGCCCGCAGCAAACATGGCTTGGTTCAACTGCATACCAATGTCGTACGTTTGCCAATTGAGAGCCGCCATTTGCACACCGCGCCGCCAAAACTTGAGAGGATCAAAGTTGGAAGATCGCAAGCGGAAACCGGATGGATAGACTCGCGTCAAGTATTTTCGGTTGTGCTTTTCAAACATGACCTTGTTTTCGTGTTCACGGCAAATGCCTTCGAATGACCGTTCAGCAAAGGAGTACACGTGGTTGTAGCGCTGGCTGTCAACAGATGTGAAGCTGTGCCATTTGTAACCTTTGGTGTAAATACCCAAGTCCGAGAGAGGTTTGGTGATCTTGCTCTTCTGGCGTCGTTTCTTGTCTTGTGACATGGACATAAAAGCACTATCGCTGTCATCAGTGGCACTGCTCATGCTCGTTGTTGTGAGCGACCGTCTTTCTTGTGTTATCATGGGACCTGGTCCATCGGGTTGAATGGTGTGAGAGCTGGAAAGAGGGGGAAGGCCAGCGGGCATATGAATATCGGCTGCTGATGGACGCAGGAAAGGTGAACTCGAACTGCGCTTCCGTCCCGTGGTAGGTGAAGTGGCAACGGTTGTAGCTGTGGAGGAGGGTGCCGAATCTTGTCGCATACCCCCTTCAATCTCATCACACGTCTTGACTTTGACCAAAATCCGACCCTTCAGTTCTTCAGGCGATGGCAGAACAAAGGCCTTCGCAATCAGAGGCTCAAGAACGAGCTTTTCTTTGAAGGCATCCTTCATGATTTTCACCATTGCCAGCTGTTGGTCTGGATTGCAGTGAACTTCGAGGGACAGAATAACGGGGAAATCGCAGGCCACGAACGCATAACGGTTAATGACAGAGATGCAATCCGCAAACAGAACGCTGGTGGTCATTGTCCTGCCGTGCGATACGATCGGTCGGCCATCGGCACCGTCCCAGCAATCAATCTCTACACAACGACAACCCTGCGTCAACGCGGTGATATATGCCTCGGTACTGGACGCTCCAGCCACTTGACGTCCCAAAAGGTAGGTGTTGTGTGAGCTTGAGATGAAATACTCGTTTAGAGGCCGATCGAATCTCGATTGGGGTGGTTTGGACGCATAGATGCCATTGCAAGCCGATGTGATGTAAGAAGAGAAAGCGTCCAGACCCATTCGCGGCGGTGCCTGGGTCACCGGGGATTCGGGAACATTGGGGCCACGCGGCTTCGGTTTCCGAACGAACTTCTCGAAGATCGAAACCCAATGAGCACAATCTGAGTCAACATCTTCCCTCTGTTCGTTGCGCAAGAAGGACAGGAATTCGTCAACGGTAAGGCCAGCCTTATGGTCTGCAGCCTGGGCTTTGTAGATCTCCTTGGTATCTTTTCTCTCTTTTAGCCGCTTAAGGAAGTCTTTGAACTCGATAAAGTTCAGTCTCCCTTTCTGGCCAGCGTCCGCTTTGGAGAATTGGGCCCTAAGCATGTTCTTGGAGCAGTTGATGTGCAAACTGCGACACACGCTCTCAACAGCACCAAAATTGAGGCTTTCTTCCTCATCAGGCTTGATGCCCTGTGCGAAGATCCTCGACATCTCACGCTGCCAGTGAGCCTTCAGAACCGCCTCGCTCTGGCTGGAACCAGCCAAGCCAGCCATGAGGCCAATTCTGTATCGCGAAATGTGCTCCAAAGTGGAGGTCCAAAGCTCAAGAATGCGGCGGTTTGGAGCGATTAAATGCAATGTTTTGACTGTACGGCCTTTAGACCGTTCAGAATCGGAAATGATGATCGTGAACCAGCGGCTTTCCGCATCTTCTGAGACCTGATGTTCTTCACGGTAGTTGCGGGCATCCGGTCCGACGCGTATCTCCTTCATGTCGTCGATGTAGAACCGCTTAGTTGGGTTGGAGACATCCCAGTAAACCTTGGCGGTGTCGAGGTCCAGAAAGAACTGCACCTGCTTCCGCCGTTTCTTGGTTACTTTCGTCAACAAGGTACCGCGCTGGATGGCTGGATCGGCCTTTGGGGCGGCCACGCCGCCATCAGGAGTGGACAGTATATCTTCATTAGAAAGACTGCACGGTTCGGTTCCGCGCCAGGCACCCAGAGAATCGAGGGCCTCCATGCTGTCATCCTCATTGCTCGAATCAAGGGCGCTTTCCCGACCTTGTGTGCTGGTTTTACTGTCCCTGCGACGACGCATTATGACGGGACCGGAGCTGCGGTCACGCTTCTCATTTTGGGAAGCCGATGCCCTCCTCCGCGTGAGTTTATTGGCTGCACCCCGAGATATACGACGCATCAAGCCGGGACCTTTGAACGGATTGGGAATAACGGTGTCACTTGAGGCATTGGCATTGTCTGTCATCATAGATTCACCGAGTTCGAAAGGACCTGGGTTGGCGAGTGGGTAAGAAGGAATACGACAGCAAGGCCCGTCTGTGGTAGTCTGCAGGGGGGTACCGGAGGGACTAGAAGCATTGGAAGGAACGTAGGTAGGAAACAAGGAGTTCGGAGTGGTCGCAAGAGGTGATATGCGAGTAGGAGCCGAAGCAGGAGCCGGAGCTAGCGGAAGAGATGTGATGACACGAGGGAGTTTTGTATGCTTGAGTTTCGGGATGGATGGAACTTTTGAATTCGGTTGAGTCTCGCCATTCAGGGCGGACGGCGAGGCAGCAGCGTAAGCCATGTTGATAAACTATACACTCGACTGCAAAACGCGGGGTTAAGAATGCGATTGAAACCGTGTCAATGGCTTTGAGTCACCTGGACTCTGTGACACAAGACAGATGAGGTAGTCGCTAACGTGATAAAATTCAATATGAGCCGAGGGAGAGTAAGAAAGGGAAAGTGTGTTGACTGTTGTGATAGGCGCAAGAAGAATGAAGAGCCACGTCCTTAACGGAATTGCACAGGTCTTGTTCTCTGCATCTTGGCCTGCCTTTGATGCTATGCGGAGAGCCCTGCGGGAGAGCGCTCGCGGAAAGGAAAGAGAGCAGGCGTTCCTGAAGAGCAGTTGGAAACGGGCACAGGTGCTGTGTGACAGCGAGGTTTCACGAGGTGGCCTGACCTCGCACGAATCGAGAGAATAGGCCACTTGCG